ATCACTTGAGCCTGAGAGGTCAAGGCTGCAATGAGCTGTGATTGTGCCACTGCACTCCAACCTGTGCGACAGAGTGAGATCTTGTAAAAAAAAAAAAAAAAAAAAAAAAAAAAAAAAGAAAGAAAGAAAAAAAAAGAAAAGGAAAGAAAGAAAGAAAAAAAAAAAAAAGAAAGAAAAGAAAGAGAAAGAAAAGGAAAACCAGAAGGATATAGTTTGGAATGTTAATAGTACTTATCCCTAGGTGATAGACTATGGGGGATTTGTTTGCTTGTTTATTTTTCTGCATTTTCTAAATTGTCTACAGTGGGCCCTTTTATAGTTAGAAAATAAATGTTTTTAAAAATTTGAAAGGTTTGAAAACCAGCAAATAGAAAAAGATCCCTTAATGGGATGTAACATTTTCCTCTGAAGAGGCCACTGAAATGTGGATGTGTAGTAAGTCAGGCCTGCAGGGAGCTGTGGCTATAGGTGGCTTCAGCTGGAGTCATCCATGGCTCTGGCTGGGACCTTGGTGGGTTCCAGGACTCCTGGGTTCTTTCCTTACTTCTTGCCCAGCTGGATTCACTCCTGCTTGCGAAAAGCTGACAAGAACAAGGACAACAAGATGAGCTTCAAGGAGCTGCAGAACTTCCTGAAGGAGCTCAACATCCAGGTGGACGACAGCTATGCCCGGAAGATCTTCCGGGTGAGGCAGGAAGTGGGGGCTGGGGCTGCCTGTCCATGGGGCCCTTGACCCCGGCCCAAGGCCTGCTCTGAGCCCACCTGGCTGTCCTGGCTCTGTAGGAGTGTGACCGCTCCCAGACAGACTCCCTGGAGGACGAGGAGATTGAGGCCTTCTACAAGATGCTGACCCAGCGGGTGGAGATCGACCGCACCTTCGCCGAGGCCGCGGGCTCAGGGGAGACTCTGTCGGTGGATCAGTTAGTGACGTTCCTGCAGCACCAGCAGCGGGAGGAGGCGGCAGGGCCTGCGCTGGCCCTCTCCCTCATTGAGCGCTACGAGCCCAGCGAGACTGGTGAGAGCCTGACCAGGGCCTGCCACCTGCAGTTGCAGTGCCGCACTGGGCCGGGAGACCCCTGGGGAGACTGCAGCCAGAAAGATGGGAGCCAGAGGGAAGGGGCTGCCTCAGCCAGCCCCGCGCCTCTCCTCAGCACTTTCCAGTCCCATGAAAAGCCGGCAGATGAGAGACAGGGCTCCGGCATCCCTGCCCTTCCCTGGTCCTGTTTCCCTCTTAGCACTTCCTTCAGGGGGCTTTGAGAACCTCTTCTTCAAGAAACCAGAGAGATGGCTGAAAAGCAGATGCTACTCCTGCTTCCTTTTTTGTGCTCATTCTGGGCCAGCTTTGAGATGTGATAGAGCAGAGAAGCTGTGGCCCTGCTCTGGAGGGGGCTCCAGTCTGGGGGTACAGAGAACGGGGAGATGACACCCTGTCCTCAGGGGTCTTAGAGTGTGCAGACAGGGGAGGAGGAGGAGACGGGGCCCCACTCTGGAGTAGCCACAGTCTGGTCAAGAGCCTCAGACTTATCCTAATTCCAAGAGCTCTGGAAGACTGGCTCAGGACAGGCAGGCAAGCGGGTTCAGAGGGCTCCTCTGTCCAGATGGGTGGGCAGCTGGAGGCTGGCTCTGACTGGCAGTGGCCTCCTCCCTCCCAGCCAAGGCGCAGCGGCAGATGACCAAGGATGGCTTCCTCATGTACTTACTGTCAGCTGACGGCAGTGCCTTCAGCCTGGCACACCGCCGCGTCTACCAGGATATGGGCCAGCCGCTTAGCCACTACCTGGTGTCCTCTTCGCACAACACCTACCTGCTGGAGGACCAGCTCGCCGGGCCCAGCAGCACTGAGGCCTACATCCGGTGCTGTCCAGGGAAGCCTTGGGGTGGGAGTCTGGGTCGGACCCAGGACGGGACTTGGAGGGTCCTAGCTGCCACCCTCCCCTCAGGGCACTGTGCAAAGGCTGCCGCTGCCTAGAGCTCGACTGCTGGGACGGACCCAACCAGGAACCAATCATCTACCACGGCTATACTTTCACTTCCAAGATCCTCTTCTGCGATGTGCTCAGGGCCATCCGGGACTACGCCTTCAAGGTGGGCGTGCCCCTGGCAGGCGAGGAGTGGGATGCTAGGGGTGGCCCACCACTCCTAATGTGCCCTTGGGCCTCCAGGCATCCCCCTACCCCGTCATCCTGTCCCTGGAGAACCACTGCACCCTGGAGCAGCAGCGCGTGATGGCGCGGCACCTGCAAGCCATCCTGGGCCCCATGCTGTTGAACCGGCAGCTGGATGGGGTCACCAACAGCCTGCCCTCCCCTGAGGTGTGTGGTGGGGATGTGGGATCCCAGCGGGAGGGTGGGGAGCCTGGCCGGGAGGCTAGGTGTGTCTTGACCAGTTGCCCCTCCACCCCAGCAACTGAAGGGGAAGATCCTGCTGAAGGGGAAGAAGCTCGGGGGGCTCCTGCCTCCTGGAGGGGAGGGTGGCCCTGAGGCCACTGTGGTGTCAGACGAAGATGAGGCTGCTGAGATGGAGGATGAGGCAGTGAGGAGCCGCGTGCAGCACAAGCCCAAGGTTTGAGGGGGAGCTGTGGGGTGGGGCAGCCCGGGCCTTCCCCATCCCCTCAACCCTGGGAGGTCTGCCTTGTCTCAGTTCTCTGTGGCTGCCACTCAGACCCTCTGCCCCGCTCTCTCTGTCTGTCTCCTTCTATCTCTCCGTGCCTGGGTTTCTGGCTTTCTCAGTGCCTACCCTGCCCCAACCACTGAATCTAACCCGGGCCTTCCCGTGGCCCCCAGGAGGACAAGCTCAGGCTAGCACAGGAGCTCTCTGACATGGTCATTTACTGCAAGAGCGTCCACTTTGGGGGCTTCTCCAGTCCTGGTACCCCTGGACAGGCCTTCTACGAGATGGCGTCCTTCTCTGAGAACCGTGCCCTTCGACTGCTCCAGGAATCAGGTGAGGCCTGGCTCCCCACGACTCCTCTGCTGTGTTACAGAGGGAACTGGCAGGGCAGTGCTCGGGCCTCACCAGGAGGCCTCCACTGCGACTGAATCACACCTCCCCTCAGGAAACGGCTTTGTCCGCCACAACGTGGGGCACCTGAGCAGAATCTACCCGGCTGGATGGAGAACAGACTCCTCCAACTACAGCCCCGTGGAGATGTGGAACGGGGGCTGCCAGATCGGTATGGACTGGCTGGGGCTGGAGGAGGCCTGGAGGAGGGTTTCAGTCCCAAGGTGGGCGGCCTAGAGCTCGAAGGCCATGCAGTGGAGCTCTGAGGACCCAAGCAGGGTCAAATGCAGGGGCTTGTGGAGCTGGTAATATCCGTCTGGAAATATCTGCCCACCAGCACATCCCAGTGTCTGAAACCTCATTAGCACACTAGCCCTTTGATTTCTGACACGAGGAATGGAAGGCGTTGTTAGCGTTGTGGGTCACTGAGGGTGGCAGGTGGGCAGCAGGCATTGGAGTGATGCTGTGCCCTGATAACTCACCATGTGACCCTAGGCCTCAGTGTACCCTGAGCAGGCTGTGCTCTAGGGCCCCAGGGCCAACCCACAGCCTGTGACTGCTCTGTCCTGCCTGTAGTGGCCCTGAACTTCCAGACACCTGGGCCAGAGATGGATGTGTACCAGGGCCGCTTCCAGGACAACGGGGCCTGTGGGTACGTGCTGAAGCCCGCCTTCCTGCGAGACCCCAACGCCACCTTTAACCCCCGCGCCCTGGCTCAGGGGCCCTGGTGGGCACGGAAGCGGCTCAACATCAGGGTACGCCGGACCCAGGAGGGATAGGTGCCGATGGGCCTCCCTTCCCCACTATCACTCCTGAACTGTCCATTGTCCCCTGCCTTTCCTCAGGTCATTTCAGGGCAGCAGCTGCCAAAAGTCAACAAGAATAAGAATTCAATTGTGGACCCCAAGGTAACAGTGGAGATCCATGGCGTGAGCCGGGACGTGGCCAGCCGCCAGACTGCTGTCATCACCAACAACGGTAGGTGCTGGGCCGGGCTGGGCTACTAGGCTGGTGTCCATGCTGTTGATATGGTGCCTGTCCCCCTAGGTTTCAACCCATGGTGGGACATGGAGTTTGCGTTTGAGGTAGTTGTGCCTGACCTTGCCCTCGTCCGCTTCTTGGTGGAAGATTATGATGCCTCCTCCAAGAACGACTTCATTGGCCAGAGTACCATCCCCTTGAACAGCCTCAAGCAAGGTGAGTGTCAAGAGAAGGGGACGGCCAGGTTGGCGGGAAACAGGGCCTGGTATCTCTTGGGCTGGGGCTGGCTGTCCCTTGAAGCATCCCCTGAGTGACCAAAACTCTCTCTGTGTTCCCTCCTGCCTGTCCACCCACCAGGATACCGCCATGTCCACCTCTTGTCTAAGAATGGGGACCAGCATCCATCAGCCACCCTCTTTGTGAAGATCTCCCTCCAGGACTAGCCTGGAGGAAGCCAGGAGGGTCCCCCCTGAGTGGGCTGGGCCCTCTGTCCACACGTGGGGACAGGGCTGGTGTGGCTGCTCCCAGCCTCTTGCTCAGAGCTAGGCCCCCAAACTGCCTTTAGCTCTAACATAGTGTCTGCTGCTGCCTCCCTGGGGACCAGGAGCTAGCCCAGTCCCTGGAGCTGTCCTTCATTCCGTTAGGAACAACACTGCAGCCCTCTCCACCCTCTGGCTGGCCGGTGGTCAAGGGTTTTTATAAAAATCACGATAAGATTAAGCCTTGTGGTCTCTTTACCTGGATGCCAGAAAAATCCCCTGTGAAGCGTGTGTGTGTGTGTGTGTGTGTGTGTGTGTGTGTGTCCCCATGTCCTAGAGTGCTGGAGCCTCAGCACCTCACTCTCTACCTTCCTTGCACACAGTTGAGTAGGGCGGGGGGTATCTGCAGAGACCAATGAGAAATAAACCCCTCTGTGGGGTGGCACTGAGAGCTCACACTCGCCAGCCCCGGAGGCCCCTTCCTCTGAGAGGTGGACCTGCTGAGTGGCCCGGGCTTGAAAGCATGCATACCACACCTTGTATGGACTGCCTGCTTTTACTGACAAGCAGAGGATGACCAGAAGCCTCTGAGGGGAGTGGAAGCAGGGCCTCCCCAGCATTGTAGGTATGTTGGGGTGGGGGGGGGTAGGGGCAGTCGAGAGGGCTTGGGGTCAGAAGAAGCCCAGCTGCTTTTTCTCCTGCTGCTGCCTCCACGTGGCCATGCTGTAGAATTCCTCCTTGGATTTCCCAAAGATATCTTGGAAGTCAGAGTCTGAGAGATAGAACTGGGCAGGGGAGAGAGGGGGAGGTACAGGGGAGGGTGTCATCTGAGCCCAGAATCCTGCCCCACTCAGGAGCGTCATCCAGGGCTTAGGACTCCCAGACATCTGTCTGCCCACCACCCCAACTAGAAGACACATCTCCCAGGGCAGCTGCCCACTGCACGCCACCAGTGGATCCTGCCTCGGGCTCCTCCAGCTCAGTGTCAGATGCACTGGTGCTGGGGCAGTGAGTGGCGGGGGTCTTGGGCGCCCACCTCCCTGCGGGCAGGGTCCACGCCCTCTGGCAGGTCCTCAGCGGCCTGGTGCATCAGTTGTTCCCGGCGCAGGCCCCCGTTGATTGTGGCGCTGGTGCTGCTGACAGAGCTGCTGGTTCTGGTGCCACCCGATTTGGGGCCCCGCATCAGCTCATTCTCTGAGCTGTCCTGGGAGCCCTTGAGGGCCTGCAGGGCCACGGCACCTGCCCTGCCATTGCCCGGCCATCTGGATAGCCGGAAGTTGTTGACTTCCTGTCCAGAGAGGAGCCTCAGGCTGGGGAAGATGGGGAATCGGTAGCCCACAGGGAGGCTGCACTGAACCCACAGGCCTCTTGCCTCCAACTGCAGCCCCTCCCACCTACCAGGGCCTGGCACTTCCTCTGCCCATCAGGACCATGCGGTCAGAGCCCAGGTCACTGTGGGGAAGGCTAGGGGCCCCAGGACTCACTGCTGTTATCTCAGAGATGGTTGATGCTGCTGCCGGGCTGCCCTCCACCACTTTCGTGTCGGACAGGTGGCTCTGGAGCAAGAATAGGGGCAAGTATCAGGGCCAGGGCAGGAGGAAGGGGCACCGGTGGGAGTCAGGAGGGGCCTGAGGACAAGACCAGGTCTCATGCACACACTGGCAATCCCCAGCCAGGGCAATGCCTCTTCATTCCATTGGCCCAGGTCAGGCTCCTCTCCCCCCAAATTAGGGTGGGGCTGGGGGTTTCAGGCCTCACTCACGGTCCACTTGTAGGGGTCCCAAGTGAAGAACCATCCAGTGAAGGTGGGAGGCTCATGGCCCTGCTTGACCAGCACGATGGGTGTGGCCGGGCTCCTCCCTGCTGGGTGGGTCTTCAGGTACTCCTGGCCCCAGGCCACTGCCTCCTTCCACTCACTTGCAGCTTCCCCAAGCCACAGGAAGATCTGGGCCACAGAGGGGGCCTGGCCTTGGGCAGGTGGAAGGGCTGCCCAGAGCGGACCCCTTCCTGTCTACTCCCTGTCCATCAGTTGTCCCAGACAGGACCCCACATACAGATCCCTGGCCAGGCAGACACATCCAGCAATCGGCCATACCCACACACCCGTGAACACACGAGAAGATCACAGGAATACATGCATGCACACATATTCAACCCACACGTCTTTTTTTTCTTGCATGGTTTACCTGGAGATCAATCCACAAACACTTACTGAGCACCTACTGTGTGCCGGGCATTGGTCTAGGCTCTGGGGAGTCAACAATGAAAGAAAATGGACAAAAATCCCTGCTCTTATGGAGCTTTCATGAGAGAGCAAGTCACATGTATGTCTGGAGGAAAAGTGTCCTAACCAGAAAAAACAACCAGTGTAAAAGCCCCGAGGTGGCCGTGTGCCCAGCATGTTCAGGGAACACAAGGAGGCCATTGTGGCTGCAGCAGAAGCAGTGGAGGGGTGCGGGGGGAAATTGGGTCAAAGAGTTGGGGCTGGCCAGGTCACGTAGGGCTGTGGTAAGAGCTCTGGGTTTGTTCTGAGTGAGATGGGAGCACACAGCTTCATCACCAATTCAAACAGTGCTGCAGACATGGCCCCACAGAGACACAGAGAACACACATTATGGCAGCTTACACAGTCACACAGTCATCCATCGCCACACAGCCAGACAGCAAACCATAGCCACACAGTCATCCACTGTTGTCAGACACAGCTGCACGTAAACACAACAACACTTGTTTACACAGCCACGCACACCCAGCCAGTTACACCACTGTGCACAGAAACACAGACCCACAAACACACCCATCTATCACTCGCCCACAGCCAGTCACAGTCTCTCTCACAGACGCATTTTCACCAGTTGCCACTGGTCTGGTCAGTTCTAGCATCATGTGACCTCACAGTCACTAACAAAGTGTCACACACAGGTGCACGAAGGCAAACGCTCACACCAAGCCACACACATGAATGATGCGACTGGGTGTTCCACTCACAGTCACTCATGCAGCACTGACACATGCTCGGCCGCAGGTACTGTCGCTGGAGCCACACACAGTATCATAAGGCACACAGAGCCGCACACAACTGCAAACATGGTCTCAGTTACCCCTGAGTTCCAACACACTCCTAGTCTCCCAGAGTCTCAGTGCTGCCACCTGGTGACACACACTCATCCATGGTCTCATATGCACCACAATGTAGTTGCTCAGTGACAAGGTCACGCAGACTCACCCACAACCCTATGTACAGAGTCAGATGGCTAGATACACACACACCCAGTTACACAAACAGACACACTCCCGTTCACAGCCCCACCAGGCAGGGGTGGCCACTTTACCTCCTGCCAGGTGTCCAGTAACATGATGTCATACTTGTCCAGGTCCTCCTGGCTGAAGAACACCACTTCTGCCAGGACCAGGCAGCCCATCTGGCTGGAGCACTCAAACAGTCGTGGCTGGAATCTGGGGACCTCCTCAGGGAGCCTGGCCAGCACGGACAGCAAGGTTGTGAGCCACGCAGAGAGGCACCCCAGCCCATGGCACAAGTGCCCCATCCCAGGGGCTGGGAAGCCACTTCTCAGGAGTGGGAGCTCTGGGCCCTCCTCTGAGCCCCATGGTCTGCTCCCCGAGCACTCTGCTCTGCTCTGGGTGCAGGATCCCTCTCTGCTCATGGAGAAAGCTCTCGCCCCACCCAGCTGTGATGCAAGGTATCCCATGAATTCCCCTAGGAGAGGGCTGCAGGGCAAGGGGAGGGCCTGAGCTGGAGTCTCGCCCTCCCTGGGATGGGAGGAGCTCCTCAGCCCACCCCTGGCAGAGAGTAGGTCTCCAGCCCAAAGTGGAAGGAGGGGAAGCCAGGCTGGGAGAAGGAGGCGGGAGTACTGAGCTCAGGAGAATTGCGGGGAGTGCAGCACATAAACCAAGCCCCACAGGCAGACCAAGAGTAAGCAGGACTCAGCTCCCTCCTCCCCTTGAGGCCTCACTCCTACCTGCCACACAAACCCTGTCCATTTACACACCACACACACAACACCCAGAATACACCTGTTCTTGCACATCCACACGCACTGTATACCGATACATCATATGACACTTTCTACACACACACTGGGCACCGTGACCCCTGAGGACTGTAGGGTGCTTTGTCCCCTGGCCCAGGACCAGGACAATGCAGGGAGGGGATTCTGCCAGCAGAGAGCGCCACTGCCCCCACCCTCCCCAGCATCTTCGAGACCCAAGTTACCCAGGCTTGGGAGTGAAGGGCGGGCTGTGCTCCTGGGAGTCTCTGTGAGTGGGAAGCTGAGAGTCCCCAGTTCTAGTCTTGTCTCTCCAGCTCTCTGTGTGAACCCCAGTCACCCACCCTCCTCTCTGGGCCTCAATTCCTCCTCTGCGTAAGAACACTCTCCTCCCAACCCTGTTACCTTTTCTTGCTGGGGTAGGGGGCCCGGCCTCCCAGGGCCTCCCAGAAGTGGGGAGGCTCCTGACCCTCCAGTACTGTTTCCTCGTTCTTCTTGGAAATGACAGTGACCACCACCCGTGCCATCTCACGTTGATCACCATTACACCCCTAGCAGGCAAAGAGATGGCTCAGGCCCTGTACGAGGAAGGGCCTTCACCTCCAGCCCCATATGCCATTCACGGGGTGTATGGGGTGGGGCTGGGGCCAGGTCACAGGAGGCCTAAGCTGACGGCAGGGCACCGGTGAACAAGGCATCTTCCTCACCCTCCAGGCCTGTGTCTCCAGCTGATCTGGATCACAGGGTCTGGGACCCTCACAAGGTCCAGAGCAGGGGATGGGAGGCTCCCAGGCTTAGAGGGTCACTCATAGTTTATGCTGAAAATAGAGAAAACTCCAGCAAACTGGCATAGGCCCCTCCTTTTCCCAAGAGACCTGGGAAGGGACATGCCCTGTGCTCTAGGCAGTAAGGAGGCGGCGGCCTGGGCCTGGCTCTGACCTGTAGACTCTCAGGTCCACCTGTAACTTTGTAACTTTCCCCAAGTTCCAGAGGGGACACTGTGGCTTCTTCCCCTCCCCATTCCCCCCATCAGCCTATCTGAGGCTGGACTCAAAGTCTGCATCCCCTATGGAGAGGACCCACCCCCAGCCTGGCACCACTACCTCTGGGCATGAGTCAAGTGGTCAGTGCTGTGGGTACCTTCCCAAACCAGAGGTAGCAGACGCCGGCTGTGACCAGCAAGAAGATGTCATTGGAGTTGAGGGACGAGGCACGGGCTGGCACCTCCATGGTCTTGGTGTTTTGGCTGTCAGTGCCTTGCACATGGAAAAGCCTCGTGGTGGACGCTGACTGCCCCTTTCCATGGTGCCCAGCTCTCTCCTACAGGAGAACAAGGCCTCAGGCTGGGCAAGGGCTCCCGGGGGCGCCTTCCTGTCCCAGTGTGGGACATATTACCTCAGAGCTCAGGGACCCTTGCTTGAAACTACCACGGCCCTCACTGGTGATTTCACATGAGGAGTATAGGATGCTCTAAGCGTGGAGTGCAGGAATGCCATCAGTCTGGGATAGGGACAGACCCTTTCTAAATGAACCTTCCCCCCCATCTCTGAGTGGTAGGGGCATGGGTGCTCAGGCCTTGGAGGTGGAAAGTGGGGACCAGGTTTGCCAGTGTGTGGCCCCAGGCAAGCCTCTGGCTCCCTTTCAACTCAAATTCCTCATCTGGCTCTGGGACTGGGGAGGGTAAGTCAGGCAGGGGCCAACCTTGGAGCTCCTGGGCCTTAGACAAGCTCTGGGAAACTAGGGGATGAGAAGCAGGCCCCAGGCCCAAAGAGAAAGTGCTTAGAAGTGTGTGCGGGGGCCATGGCCCACGCAGAACTGGGCAGGCTGTGGCCAGAGGGGCAAGGTGAGACCTACCTGGAAGATCACCAGCTGGCCCTGGAAGATGGCGAGGAAGTGGGGGGGCTCGCTGCCCATGGTCACATGCTCCTGCACTAGGGCGCCACCATACATGACGTCCAGCTCCTTAGCATTGCTGTTCAGGGCCTTGATCTCATCTGCAGTGGCCTGGCGGCCCTGCAGGTAGGGGCAGTGAGTGAGGGCCTGACCCAGCTCTCACATCTCACTCCCAGAGCCCAGCCCTTGGGCTTTAAGGTGAGTGCCGCCTCCCTCAGGCTGGCTCACCTGCCATAGGTACAGGATGTACTGGACACGGCCCAGCCTTTGGTACGTGTAGAGCACAAGGTAGTAGTTGCCTGCATACAACTGTCCATGACGCTTAGGGTCCACGGGCTGCCTGCGTAAGTCCTCCATGCACCACACCTGGGGAATAAGGGACCGATGGGCACAGATGGCTGCTCTTCCTGAACCAGCCCACCCATCCTGCACCCAACTGGAAAGCTCTCCCCAGCCTCCGAGGCCTTCCTCATCCACAAAGGCCAGGGGCCCACCCTCAGCTCCAGGCCCATTCCGGGCTTTGTGCTGGGCTTGAACAAGGATCTGCAGGCGACCCTTTCCTCATGGACCTCTGAAACCCACCACACTTGGGAGATGGACCCAATCCCAGCTACGTGCCCAGCCCTAGTCCCAACCCCCCCAGCCACAGCCCTGGTTAGGGGCAGTTCGGTCCCCTCCCAGCTGCTTGCTGCTCAGGCCAGGGCAACAGAAGCCAGGCGGAAAGGGAAGCCTTGGAGCTCTTGAATGAATTCCCTTTTTTCAAGTGTCATTTAGAAAACACAAAGCCTGTTCAAAGACTGAAGGGCAAACACTGTCTCACATCTGTTAGTGTAGTTTCTTCTTCCTGTGGGTGGCAGAGCCTGGAGCCAGGCAGACTCTGGTCAAATCCCAGATAGGCCCTGTGTTAGCAGTGACATCGTTCTAAGCTTCAGGCCTTTCCCACCTGTATATTGGGGACGATGACACCTCCCTTACCTCACCTCTGCATGGCAGGAGACAAGGCCTGGGTGTCCTTTCCCACACTGACCCTGACAGTTGTCCCTGGGAAGCTGACCTCCAGCCCAGAGCAGCCAGAGCCCTGTCTTTTACAAAAGGGGCTGACCTGACCACAGGCCACTTGGCACTTACCGGGCAGCCAGGACCCCTGGCTCAGGCCCTCTCTCTGCCTGCCTGTCCACTGCCTGCCAGGAGGGATCCCCTCCCTGACTTTGTGCTTGGCGCCTCAATTCCGGAGCTCTCTTTCCCTCCGTCCCTCGCCTTTCCCTCTGCTTTCCTGTCTCCCGCTCCCACTATCTGGCTCTCTGTATCTCTCTGTGTATCCCATCTATTCCTGACCCCCCTTCTCTTCTCCCTGTACCCCATCTCTCCCTGCTCTTCCTCCATCCCACCTCCTCCTCCCTTCCCTCTGTCTCCTCCTCATCCCCTGTCCTTCCCAGTCTTTTTTTCTCTGTCTCTCATTGCGCTCCTTCCCTGTCTTCCTCTTTCCCTGTCTCCCCCTTCTTCCCCCTTGCCCCATCTTCTCTTCTCTCAGTCTCTTTCCACTCATCACTTCTGTCCATCCATATTAGGGCAAAGGAAGAAGAAATCTTGGTTTTCTCTGACCTCCACCTACCTCGAGAACTAGGACCCCTTGCATAGGCCCAGCAGTTCTGTTCCCACAGTTCCACAGGATCCCCACATCAGCTTTGGGGCCAGATGGGACCACAGTTTCTGACTCCATTTTATTTAAAAACTAGGGCCTAAAAAATTCAGGGCTCTGCCTAGGGGGTCAGCCAGTAAGTCAAGATACAACCCCACACTATACACAGCCTGGAAGTGGCCCTCAACCTCTGTGTCTCGCAGGACACTGGACTGAGACCAGATGAGTGGTTGACAGTGTATGGCTATGAGCTGGGGTTGAGTGTGTGGGGCTATGATTATGTGTGATCGTGTGTCTGTGTTGGTGTGTCTCTGTGGATTGATGGTTGTGTGTGACTGTGGTCATGTCTGATGCAGAGTTTTTGCAGCTTCATATTTGCAGTTGTGTACTTGGCTGTGACTATGTATGTGTGTGTGTCTGTATAAGCATATGTTTGATTTTGTCCTACATGTGACTACAGGGCGAATTTAAGGGTCCAAGTGTTACTCTACTGTGTGTCTGTGTTATGTGAGTGCCTATGGCTGTATATGATTAGGTGTGACTATGTATGAACTTATGAACTTATGAACTGCCTGTTAGAAGAGTGTGTAAATGTACATGTGTGCCTTGGTGTCCCTGATTGTGTATGGATATGCACCTGGGTCACATCAGATAGCAGTCATACCGTTTACCTGTAGGCAAAGCTCACCCCTGTGTGCCCATCTTCCCCCAGCTAACCCAGTGCCCCTCACCTCCACCTTCCCAGAGCCGTCGTCCACCATCCTGAGCTGGGCCGCTAACTCAGGCTGGGTGTGCAGCTTGCCCACGTCCAGCTTTACATGAATCAATTTATCTGAAGGTGGGGCAGCAGGTGTCAGTGGCGCCCTCGGCCCCACCCCCTCCCACACCATCCCCGCCCCGCCCACTCCTCAACCATCCCTCCGAGATTCCAGGTCCCGCCTCGTCCTCCGCCGCCCACGCCCCTTTCCTCGTCCTGAGAAGGTTCTGTTCCGCCCCGTGCAGACCAGGCCCCGCCCCCTCCGGCTCCGCCCCGCCCGCTCACCCATCCCGCCGAGTTGCCAGTTACTGCCAGGCCCCGCCCCCGCCAGTCCCGCCCCGCCCCCGCCAGTCCCGCCCCGCCCCCGCCCCCGCCAGTCCCGCCCCGCCAGTCCCGCCCCGCCAGTCCCGCCCCGCCAGTCCCGCCCCGCCAGTCCCGCCCCGCCCGCTCGCCCCGCCCGCTCACCCCTCCCGCCGAGCTTCTGGTTCCTGCTCCGCTTCTCAGACCAAGTCCGGAAGAGCTGCTTGAACGCGGCCGACTCGGCGCCGTCGTTCACCACCTCCACGTTGGTGTAGGTCGGGTAGCCCTTGGCCTGGATGAAGCCCTGGGGCGGAAGGCACTGTCAGTCCTGCGACCCGAGAGTCCACTGCTCCACTCCCGCCCCTGGGGACCTACAGCTCTGGGACAGCCGAGCTCCAAGAAGCGTTAATTAACCGAGCTCATGACCCAATTAACGAACTGACTCTGTCACCACCAACTTCTCTGAGGTCCCTGAGGGCAGGCAGGGTCCCCTTAGTCCAGGTCTCGGGCAGGACAGGCCATGTCAACCCTCATGGACCCCAGAAAGAGCCCCGTCTCCTCCCCAACCCCACCCTCAGAAAGCGGGGCCGCCCAGTCAGTAAGGCCCCACACCTGAAGGCAGGGCCACGTGCCCCTTTTATACATGGTTTCTCAGTGGCCACCTGGTCTTCACTCTCAGGGCTCCCAAGGCAGGGCTACCTCCCCTTTAAGACTCCAGCATAGGATTTCCCAACTCAAACTCCAGGGGAGGGCTGATTCCTCCCTTGGACCCCGGGGCAGCGCTCTCTCCCCACTCAGACAGCAGGGCAGTGCTCTGTTCCTCTCAGACAGAGCCCGGGGGCTCACCACAGCCCGGCTGAAGGCAGCCTGTCTCTCCTGGAGGCTAGACATGCGTCCCTGCCACACATAGATCTTGAAGCCACCCTGGTCCAGGATGTAGACGTCCTGGGAGCAAGGGTAGGGCTGGTCAGTAGGTGGTCCAGACTGGGCTGGGGTTGTGGGCGGGGAAGGATGCGAATAGCTGGGGCCAGGACTTCCTCACCTCCTCCTGCAGCAGGTCCTGGGTCAGTGGGGGGGTCGCCAACTCCACGACCACCAAGTCTTTGCCCTTCTCATAGACACTGGAGGAACAGGAACCCAGGAGTGACCAGCCCAGCCCCTCCCTGACCCAGCCACTCCAGCCCCTCTTAGGACCCCACCCCAGCCCCTCAGAGACAGAAGGCATGGGGGCTGGAGCCCTGAGTTGTAGTCTTGACTTGACTGCAGCCTTGCTGTGGAGCTTTAGGCAGCTGCCTGACCCTAGCAGGGCACCACAGTCCCCCTGTATGTACAACAGGTTTCTCAGCAAGGCAGCCGCACACCATGGAAGAGTACAGGCTGGGCCCACGGTCCCTATGCCATGTCCCAGAAACCCAGCAGCCTTTGCTGGAGGGCTTTCTAGAGATGCCATGTTATTGTAGTAGTGATGGACACGGAATCCTGGACTGTCCCATTCACCCCTGCCCACCCCAAGGGTACTTACTGGTACAGGCGGACACTGGCCTTCTGCAGCTGGTTGATATCCTTGCTGGGCATGGCGGCACGCAGGCTGCCCACCCTGCGGCCCAGCACAGCTTCCATGATCTGCATGAGGTCCGGGGCTTTGGCCTCATCATCCACTACACCAATCTGTGCACGACCACCACGTTCCCTGTCCCGAAGGCTGTAGGTCAAGGCCAGCCCCTGCAGGAGAGAACCTGGCAGTCAGGGTGTCACCAGTGTGCCCCCTCACAGCACAGCTTTCTCCTGTCACTGCTCAGCTCCCAGAGGCTGGTGGGGAGAAGGGCTGGTGTCCCCTCATCCTGGCATCCAGGGGGACACCAACAGTGCAGGGTCTGAACTCAGCTTGTAACTTGTAGACGTTTCTTGGGTTGTAGCAGAGAGCCAAGCCCGCCTCTTGGGGTGGCTGGAGGATGGGCACCTGGAGGACAATTCCCCCCCAAGCCCCATACTCCCCAGTTCCTTGGGCAGACACTGACCCGAGCCTTCTCAGAAATGCTGGTCTTGGGCCCATTCCACTGGATCATCATCTTGCCTAGGTCCAGCAGGAAGATGTCCCCCTTATTAAAGCTGTTCCAGGAGAGCTCCACCTGCCAGAGCAAGGAGGAGCAGGGAGGGAGACAGAGTGTCATACCACCAGCATCCGCTAGAGGGGAGCATAGCCGGGATGTGTCACGTGTGCATGAAGCTGTATGCAACTGGGTGTACTAGGCATGTGTGACTGTAGATAATGCTGCATTTCACAGGGTGTACACGACTTATGACACTTCTCACTCAGTGCATGTCTGTTGCTGTACATGTGTACATGTGCACATGTATACAGGTGGGGTGTATCTGTTTATCTTTTGTGTGTGTGCATATACACACATATGTATGTGGGTACATCACATGTGAAGAAGTGTGTGTGCTCATGGTGACAGTGTATATGTATGGATGAAGATAGTCTCCAAACGGACACACTTTTGAGAGTAAAAGGGAGTACTTTAGATAATTATGCCAGGATAATAGGAGAAACATAGGCCTTCATGGTGTCCCTGAATGACCAGGGATGTATGGTCACTGGGTCTGTGGGTGACATGCTGAGCCTATGTGGGATTGTCTGTGTGTCACAGGCTGCCTATGCAGACTCACTTGCATACCTCAAGGGTTACCATTCACACTGTAGATGTTGTACACCTGAATGTTCATTACACCAAATTCTGGCCAGATGGCAGCAAAATGTTTTGTTCTAACAAAACCAGTACTTTCCTGTAATTTCCTGACAGATGGGAGAAAGGGACACTGTGTTCTGATTTGCACAAGGGCACTAAATGGACCAGAGGAGCACCTGGGGATAACAATGGGAGACAGTGTGTGTGCATATGGGTGACAATGACAACGTGTGTGAGAGAGTGTGAGGTTATGCACTCCCCAAGTTTTGCACCACCTCTCACTGTGTTGCTAACAAGGACCATTCACAGGTGCCATATCGTCTGCCCCATCTGCCCAAGTTCTTTTTTTGATTTTAGAGACAGGGTCGGGTCTTTCTCTGTCACCCAAGCTGCTGGAGTAAGTGGTGTCATCATGAATCACTCCTGGGCTCAGGTGATCCTCCTGCCTTAGCCTCCCAAGTAGCTGTGCCCAGGTTCTCAATATGTCCATGAGACACATGCAGAAACATAAGGTCCGGGGAGTAGAGGCAGAAGTGGGGCTAGAAGCTTGGTGTCCTCTCCATTCTCCTCGTTCAAGACCATCTGAGAATGCTGACAGCTCCTTGTTCCCCACAGCCCCAGCCAATTTCCAACTTCCTTATACCTCAGTACACCCAGTCTGAGCCGAGTCCAGAGGTCAAGAGGCTCCCCTGGCAGCCTCACCTCAGTGGCAGACACGTGCTTCCTCCCTTTGATGTGCAACAGTCGCTGGATGTTGAAAAAGTTGGTCTCCACATGCTTGAGGTCAGAAGCTAGGCCTCCCTTCCTGTAGCTGAGGAGGAAATAGCAGGAGGGTATATACATTCTGTGTATGTGAGAACACAGTCTGCCATGTGCATGAATGATTGCAGATGTGAGCACATGCACATATGTGCCTGCTTCATACATGCACGGGAATCTGTGTGAACACATGCATGTATAGGTACATGGGTGCACACATAGGGCATGAGTGTGCATTCATTTCCATGTGTAGTGCACTTCCATGCATAATCATGTGGACACAAGCATATATGTGTACATGTACATACATTTGGGGGCACAGTGTCTATTTGCTTATCCCTGTAAGTCTAGATGGTGAGTACATGAAAATGGGCAACAGTATATATGTGTGTAGGTGAACATGGATATTCACACATGTCCATCTGTAGGTGGACTTACATGGGGGTGGTGTTTCTGCATCTGTGCATATGCTTGTGTGCATGTGTTCATGTATATGCTATATGCATATATAGGTTCAACTGTATGAAATGGAAATGATCAAATAGCAGCAATTTCCTATACTGCCAAATATATTGCAAATGTTAATTTAAAACACCTGTGAAGCAATTTACAGCGAAAGACATATTCCCACCAGCACAGTAATATAAAAGCAAACTCAAAACACCATTGGTGTCTGCTCCTAGGTATATACCAAAGGAAATGAAAACATTTGTCCACACAAATACTTGTATACAAATGTTCATAGAAACAGATTCATAGCAGCCAAAAAGTGGAAACAACCCAAATGTCCATTAAGTGATGAATGGATAAATAAAATGTAGTATATTCATAAAATGCAATATTACTTGGTAATAAAAAGAAGTAATAACACATGCTACAACATGGATAAACCTTGAAAACAGTGTGTTAAGCAAAAACAGTCCGTCAGGGAAGACCACTTGTTGAATGATTCCATTTCTATGACATGCCCGGAAGAGGCAAATGTATAGACAAAGTAGATGAGTAGTTGCCTAGGGCCGGGGATGGGGGTCTTGGAGGGAAATGGGGAGTGATCGCAAAGGGGTATGGGACTTCTTTTTAGGGTGATGAAAATGTTCTAAAATTGATTGTGGTGATGGTTGCACACAACTGTTAAAAATCACTGACATGTATGTGTACTTTAAATGGGTGAATCGTATGGTGTATGAGTTGTATCTCAATAAAGGTGTTACCTAACCCCTCCCGGCTTTCCCCATTCAGGGATGTGGACGATGGCCATCCCAAGACTGCCCCAGTCCAGGCACCGCCTCCACGGCTCAGTCCTGCCCGCGGCCGCCCCCGCACTCACATGATTCCCGGGCGGAAGTAGCTGCAGAAGCAGTCGGACTCGTGGGCCTGTGCCTCGCGGTGCAGCACGGTCTGGCCCCCCAGCTCCTCCTGTAGGTGCTGCTGGAAGGCTGCCGCAGTGCCCTGCGCCTCCGCACCCGCCTGCTTCCCGATCCAGTAGTGCAGGTCGCTGGACGCCCCCCGCGTGGCCTTCGGGCTCTGGGGAACCTAGGGTCCGGGTGTTTGTGTATATGTGTTGCGGGGAAGGCGGAGGTGCGGCTGGAGAAGGGGAGGATGTACCAAGGGCCATGAGGAGACGCTAGGCAGGGGCTTCCGCGGAGATCAGGAAGCGGGAGGGAAGGGCTAAGAAGCCTCAGCGGTAACCGCCACCTTGTGGGATGTGATTCTGGGGCTCTCTCAACTTGCCGCTTCCCAGGGCAGAGTTGATGTCTGTGCCACAGTCTCCCCAGTGCTGGGCCATGTCACCCCTCTCAGACAGACTTCCCCAAGCGACTCACGTGGAGGATGACATAGCAGTGTTCCTCAAAAAAGTTCCCGTAAGCCCCCTCGGGTACCGGCACCATCTTCTGGTTCTGGGAGAGGAGAGTGCCCTGTAACAACTCGGGAGATCCCTACCCATGACACCCGCTGGGGTGGGGTGGAGGAGGACGCTCTGAGTTGGGTGTGGGAGAAGCCTGGTGTGGGAAACCCCACGCTCTTCCATGTCACCAACTCTCCTATCTGGTCGTGCCTCTCACCTCAGTGATCCATATGTGGAGGCCTCCCTGGATGGCTGGGAGGCCCTTGCTGATGTCCATCCTAGGCCAAGCAGGAATATGGGATGACGCAAGGAACAAGAGCCAGAGTTCTCAGGCTGGAGACCAACGCCTGGCTACCTGTACAACTTCATTATAGAACATGACTTTTGTTAGCAGGGCTCTGTAAACACACAAATGTCAGCACACAGACTATGAAGACTGACAGATTCTGCAGCAAGTGACAGGCTCAGCTGATATGAGTGGGTTGGGCAGATTAGGCATAAACACTTGACAATTTTTTTTTTTCAGTTTTTTCGAGACAGGGTCTTGCTCTGTCACCTAGCCTGCAGTGCATGATTCGAACACACTTCACTGCAACCTCCGCCTTCTGGGTTCAAGTGATGCTCCTGCTTCAGTTGACAAATTCTTGAAACAGAACTGAACTCTGTATAAACACAGGCTCTGCAAACAGCCACAGGCTCTGCAAATAGCGATTTAGCTTGCTTGAGTCTGTGCTGTGTGGTTCTGCGTGTGCGGAGGAGGGAGAGAATGAGAGGGCAGTGAGTGACAGTGACATGGAATGAGAAGTACCTGGGGAAAGGAAGGGACCCTCACTTCTGTCGATTTTGTTATGTCTTGGCACTTCATACTCAATTACCTGAGGCTTCTCTGCACCACTCTTTCAGAAACCTGTGTGTGAGGTTTGGTCCAAAAGTCACTTCTTTCTAAATCTCTCACTCAGGGTGACCCTGGTGTGTTAGTCCTTCCCCCTCCCCCTCCACTCCCACTATGTCTTATCGACAGCAGGAACACCCTTGGCTCCAGGCAGAACAAGGCGAGGGGACAGAGTTACAGAATCAGGCGTGGTACAATAGGTGGCATAAAGTGGCTCACATTCCTTACACCTTTGTCAGGGGCCCTGGTTTGGCCCTGGTGAGTTCACAGTACACTGTGGCAACACCCAACAGGTAGCCAAGGAAATGTGGTGGGAGCAGAGGAGGCTGTGGGGCAGCAGGGGCAGAGTGGGCGGTCCTTCTAGGGGGTTAGAGCTGGGTTTAGCTCACAGCTCCTCCCGCACCCTATGGAAACCATAGGATGGTTGTTGGCTGTTGTCTCCCTCACCAGAACATCAGATTCCTGAAGGCAGGGGTTTGTCCTCTTGTTTACTGTGGGATCCCAGCTGCCTGGCCCCCAGCAGGTACTCGGTAAGTAGTTGTTGAATGAGTGAAGCGTGCTGCCCTGTGACGGGACTGAGTGAAAGTGAATGGAGAAGGAAGCCGTCCCGCACCCTAACTGCCCCAGGATCTGTTGCCACAGTTGATGGCCTATTGGTGTGACAATGACATGAGTGATAGGCAGACATAGTGGCCATGAAAAGGTGATCTCAAGCAACAGAAAACGTGAGGACGTTGGGTGGCAAGCAGGTTGACATGCAATGGTGGCCCTGTAGGACACTGAGTAACAGGCAGAAATAGTGACCAGCGACAATTACCAGAGGCCCAGGCAGGCAGTGACCAGAGGTGCAGACAGAAACTGTGAGCTGTATGTAGCTCATGGAAGAGTGCAACTCGGTGACAGAGTATCAGAAAGACTACTGGATGGCCTCAGAATAGTGGCAACCAGGGCCCATGGGGGACAGGAAAGTCAAACTGGCAGCCAGAAAGTTGGGACTCGGCTGGTGTCACTGGGAGGGGCAGCGTAGCCCCCAGGGGGCCGGGAGCCTGTCTGATATCCAGCCCCAGCCTGTGGAGCCAAACCCTCAGCCACCAAGGGCTGAGGTCCCACTCCCATGGCATCTGTGTTCACTCTCTTCCACCTGGGCTTCAGGGGGGAATGGGTGCTCGAAGATCGGGGGCCTCCTACCTCTCCACAGTGCCGCCTCCAACCTTCTAAGCCCTCCTGCCCTCTTTCCTCTGGGGAACTCCTCACAGTGCCCCCTCCAACCTCCCAAACCCTCCTGCCCTCTTTCCTCTGGGGAACTCCCTTTCACCACCTTCCCAAGTGGGAACCCTCCTACCCCTGCTCCTCTCCTTCCTCCTAGAAGCCCCTCCTTCTCTTCCCTGGGGGTGCCCTTCCTCCACTCAGGGCTCCTTTGTCTTCCAGATGCCCGGTTCCTTCCCTGGTTTCCCTTTCTCTCCCTATGCCCCACGCCTCCCCTTTTCCAAGGTTTCCCTCTGTCCCCGCCTGGTGCCCCTGCCTCCCACTGGCTCTTCCTTCTCCCGGTTGATTTCCCCTCTCCCCTGGGATCTTCCCCTTTTTCTCCCATTTTTCCTTCCCAGGCACTTCCTCCTTTCCCGGTTCCCTGTTTTCCCCTACACCCCTTCCTGTCTCCCTCCCTGCCCTCCCTCCCCAGGTCTTCCCTTCTCTTCCTGGGCTCCCCTGTCTTTCCCAGGGCACTCCCTCCCCCCTTCACACACACCCTCTTCTCTCCCCCTGCCCCTCATGTCCCTGGGTGCCTCCTCTCTCCTAGCCCTCTCCCTCCTCCAGCGCCTCTTTCTCTCCCTACAGGAGCCCTTCCTTCCTTTGTGGGTACCGTTGAAGGGAGCCGGAGATTACCTTGCCCAACTTCCAGGGAGCAGGGAGTGGTGCCGCCCTCTAGAATGAGGGGAAAGGATGGGGCCAGGGTTGGAGGCAGGCACACTGAGTCTGTGGGCCATGGACTTCCCTGCCCTTCTACAGAATCCGCCACTTTCTTCCCCTTGGGCTGCCTGCCACAGTGGCCCTGCCCCATCAGTGTTTTCACCTGCTGGGCTGCTGCTGCCTCCCAATCCTGCCGCCAAGGCTCTGTGGCCCTGAGCCCTGCGACCCTATGCTCTATGCCCTTGACTTGAATAGCCCACTCTCTGCCTCACTGGTTCCCTGGAACCCCCCCTACACCCTGCCCAGGCCTACCTGCTGGAAACTGCTCCCGCGCCTTCACCCTGCCTGTGGGCAGTGCTGGGCCTGGCACAGGGCCAGTCTCTGCCTCCCTACTCCTGGCCCCTGCCACTGTAACTGAATCCCAGCTCCTGCCCTGCAGGACACACCCCACCACACAGCACTCAGCGGGCTGGGCATTCACTTAGTCAGTCAGTCAACAAATATTGAGCAAGCCATCTGGGGGCCAGCGCCCTCTCCAGGGCTATGGCTGTGTCCCAGGTCTCACTGCCTGGGTACCAGTGGCCAGAGAGAGCAGGGGATGGAGGCCTGGACTGGGCTAAGTGGTGAGGTGTGGAAGATACTGGAATTTCCTTCTCTGGAGTACTAGATGGGCCCCTGATCCCTCACCCAGGGTGGCGGGCTCCCCCTGGACCAAGAGGGCCAGGCCACTCCAGCAAACTTTAGGAGGAGGTAGGACTGAGGCTGGGGGCTGTGGGGTCCGGCTCTGTGGGACCCAGCTCACTTCAGGAGGGGAAGGTGGCCAGGGCTCCCTCTAGATATTTCTGCTGTCCCTACCCAAATGTGAGCTCACTGCCTGGCACAGCCCTCCTCAGGGAACCCCGCTACCCATCATGGGAGAGGCCAGTCCAGCTCTAGCAGCAAAGACCGCTTTCCCTCACCTCAGCTGCCACCCACTGCCACTCTCTCTCTCTCTCTCTCTCACTGCGGGGTGGAGGGGCTGCAAACAGAGCCTTCCAGAAACTCCAGGGGCACAACCTCCTCTTGGCAGCTTAGGGCACAGGCCTCAGTCCCAGCCAAGGCCCAGCCAGCATGGGCCGTCCCATCAAAGCCACGCTGCTAAAGCCTGCCCCCCACTGCCCACTGCCCAAGACCCTCTCCCTGTGCTCAGTCTTCACCCCACAAAGGTCTCTGTCACAGGGGTCTGGGGACTTGGGGACTCGGGGGCAGTCTGTGCCCAGCAGGACCTACAGCTAGTGTGTGACTGTGTTTAATAGACACGATGCACGGTCCCTGTGTGTGAAGGGATGCCTGTGTCACAGGCACTTGGTCTGTCCCCATGTGTGCCATTGCCTGTCCGACCTCATGTGTGTGCCTGTGTCCTGGCATGCCTGTCCAATCCCCACTTGGGACAGGGACCCTGTCTGTGACAGTGGCAGTGTATCTGCTGCAGCTGTGCATACCGTTTTCCCTGTCTCCTTTTGTCCCTGTGCCCAGGAAGACTCTGTGTCCTCACTTCTTCCCACTGACTCTTCCCCCATCTCCCCTCAGCCCACCCATTCTGTTGGTCTTGGTTCTTGAATTCCCTGGTAATGGCTCTTTCCTAAGTCACCAATGCCCACTCTCATCCAAGCGGCAGTCGGCAGTCGGTTCAGTCACCATTGTTCCTTCCCTCTCACTCCACCCATCTCCCTCAGGCCTCTAAATGGCAGCAGGTGCAGAGCTCGGGCCTTTACTCCTGTTTGTTTTCTAGTTACCTTCCCAGTTCCAGTCTGAAGGATGCAAATACCATGGAAACGCAAGCGTTTCCCTGACCCAACTCCCCTGAACCTTGCCCCAGCCTAAGTCTCCATCTTCCATCTGGTCACATCTCTCCCGGCACGTTTGGCCTCACACTTAACATTGCCTCAGGCCCGTCCCAGATCTACCCTTTCAGAGCCCCAGGAACATGTTCAGTGTGAACATCCAGTGGGTGCTTAGGCCCCAGACCTGCAGTTGCCTTGGTTTCTGTCTCCCCCAAGCCACTGGCCAGTCTGCGGCTGGTTCATGGTGAATCCTGGCCCTGGCCCTCCCTCTCATGCCTCCTGCGTGCTCCGGAGCCAGCCTCCCTCTGTGTCTCTGGGTCTGCCTGGCCACTGCGGCCATCCTCCCACAGTATCCAGAGGGATCTTTTTTCCTAAGATTTAAAACACTGTGGTAAAATATAAAAAATCTTTTTTTCATAAGATGTAAAAAATTGTAGTGGCCGGGTGCGGTGGCTCTAGCCTGTAATCCCAGCACTTTGGGAGGCCGAGACGGGCGGATCACGAGGTCAGGAGATCGAGACCATCCTGGCTAACACAGTGAAACCCGTCTCTACTAAAAAATACAAAAAACTAGCCGGGCGAGGTGGCGGGCGCCTGTAGTCCCAGCTACTCGGGAGGCTGAGGCAGGAGAATGGCGTAAACCCGGGAGGCGGAGCTTGCAGTGAGCTGAGATCCGGCCACTGCACTCCAGCCTGGGCGGCAGAGGGAGACTCCGTCTCAAAAAAAAAAAAAAAAAATTGTAGTAAGATATACTTAAAATTTACCATTGCATCCCCTTTTATTTATTTATTTGAGACGAAGTTTCGCTTTTGTTGCCCAGGCTGGAGTGCAATGGCGCAATCTTGGCTCACTGCAGCCTCCGCCTCCTGGGTTCAAGTGATTCTCCTGCCTCAGCCCCCTGAGAAGTTGGGATTACAGGTATGTACCACCACATCCGGCTAATTTGGTATTTTTAGTAGAGACGGGGGTTTCACTATGTTGGTCAGGCTGGTGGTGAACTCCTAACCTCCAGTGATCCACCCGCCTCAGCCTCCCAAAGTGTTGAGATTACAGGCATGAGCCACAACACCCGACGTGTATCCACTTTTAAGTATATGGTTCTGTGGTGTTAAGGACACTCATATTGTTGTGCAACCGCTGCCACTATTTCCAGAATTCTTTCATCTTACAAAACTGAAACCCTGCACTCATTAAACACAGACTCCCCATTGCCCCCAGCCCCTTGCAACCACCATTCTATTTTCTGTCTATGATTTTCACTAACTAGAGGGAAAATTTAACCTCAGAATTTAACCATAAACCCACTCACACCATCCCCCTCTCCAAACCTTCCAGTGGCTTCCACTAAAACTGGGATGAAATTCTCAATGGCCGTTCCCAGCTGCCTCTCCCATCGCTCTTTGCATGGCTCACTGCGTTCTGGCAATATGATTCCTTGTGTCCCTTGAAGACGCCCAGGTCGTTGTCTGCAGACCTTTGCACTGCAGTCTTCTGTGCCTGGAAGCCCCACTCTGTATCTTCCCGTAGCTGCTCCTTTACTGCATTTAGGCCCCAGCCAAAATGGCAGCCCTGCAGAGGGCCCTTCCTGCCCTTCTTAGCCACAGCAGTCTCCCTCCTCAGACATCACCACTTTCCTCATCATGGTACTCCAAGAAGCTAGTCTCCTTGCTAAGTGGGATCTTTGGTTAGTGTCTGTGTCCCAGCTGGACTGTGAGTCACTGTGGGCGGGGCCTTGCTCATGTCCACCTATGTGTAGAATGGTGCCCGGCATAGTGCAGTTGCTTAATAAAATGTTTGCTGACATGTTTCTGTGGCCTGCGCCTGACCCAGTGTGTGTGTGTGTGTGTGTATGTGTGTGTGTGTGTGTGTCTGGATCCTTTACTGGGCTCAGTCCTCCTCCTCTGAGAAGCTGAGGGGGTGACTCCTCTTCACTTTGGTTGTGGGCTAGATACCCCAGCTGGCACAATCCAGTGTCAGCAGCTTAGTGGGGGGCACGAGAACTTCTCCAAGGCCTCACCCCTCAGAATTGTCTCAGTGTCTGCAAACCAGAAGATGTCACCTGGGCAGAACTGCCCTGTCCAGAACCACCTACTCTGTAACCTGTGATCCCAGGCCCAGGAGAGATGGCAGTCTGGCCTTAGAACCTGGCCTCAGGCCACGATGAGCAGCACTGCCTTGAGTCTGGCCTGGGCAGCCTCCGGCTCATGGCTGTCACACCCCAGGCACACAGAGGGGAAACTGAGGCCCAGGACAGGCTCACAGGCAGCCGGGTGCTACAAGAATGGGAGGGTGGGATGCCTAGCCTTTCCCTCCCTCCTCCCCCTAGCAGGAAAGGGGTCCCACCACCTCACCCCCATCCCTACCTCCGCCCCTCTTCAAGGGGGCCTGCCAGGAGTCAAAAGGGCCCTGAGCAGAGTTTGCCTTGCTAGCAAAGCCCTGCCCTCTTCCTGCCCCAGCCCCCCTTAATCTACCACCTCCTCACTCAGCAAGTTTCCAGGGCTTGGGGCCTACTTTGTTCCTGCCTGGCTTGTCTCCAAGGCCCAGCCCACTCCATGTCAATATTGACCCAGGTGAAGGAGTGGCCCCAAGCTAAGTCCAGGCTCCGCCCCGGTTTCCCTGGGCTCAGGCATCCTCTCCCAGGCTTCATCCCCCAGGCCTTCTCCAGTCTCTCCCAGACAGGTGCAGAATGTTGCCTCTGTGGAGTCCGGGCTCTGTAAGGAGTGTCCCTCCCTGAGGGCAGACAGGGAAGTGAGGACTGGAGCCCACTGCTGGAGATGCCCTGGCTCCTCATGCTGGAGGGGAGCAGCCATGGGCTAGCGTGTGTCCCCACATCTGGTGGTCCCGCCCTGGGCTGCAGGATGTGGAAGGAGCTGTGGCAATGGTCACCGGGGCTTGCATAGGCTGGAAGTGACTCCTCCCAAGGACACCACAGGAACTGCTGGGTGAGAGGACAGACCAAACACCAACCCTGGACCCCTACAAACAGGTGTCACTGCCTTGCCCACTGTGGTCCTGCTCAGCAGCACACCCACCCATTAGGACCCAGCTTGGGTCAGGAAAGCCCCTGGCCTGTTGGAGGGGTGGTGCAAGGCTGGGGTCCGTGCCTAGTGGCAGTGTGACCCTTCCAATGTGCAGTGGGGGGCTCCACTCTGCTCCCCACCTGTGTGAAAGCAGGTGCTGTCAGCCAGGCAGGGGTCTTATCAGGCCTCCCTCCTCACTCCTGCCTTGGGAAAGGCTCCCAGTGCCCAGGTGGGCTTTTCTCTCTACTTTTCTGGATTTTCCAAGTTTTTGGCAATGAACATGTATATGGCTGATCTTTCAGGCAAAGCAATGTGTCATTTTCCGCAAAGCTCTGGCCACGGCTCCTTTGCCACACCTGGGCATCAGGCCTGGAACAGTTTTGGAGGACTTGCCTTTCCTCTGTAGCCAGTCAGAGCAGGGGGTCTCAGCCCTGGCTGCCCTTTCCAGTCTTCTTGGCACTTAAAAACATGGTGCAGGTCCCCATCTGCAGAGATTGGAAATGGTCTGGGGTGGACTTGAGGGATGTGTGTTTGAGACCCCTCATGTTATTCTAGTGTACAGCTGCAGCCAGAGCTGAGAATCACTGCGCCAGGAGAGGGAGCTGTAATGGAGGCTTGGGGCGGAAAGCTCTGGGGCCATGTCCTCCTCCCGATGGCCTCTGTTCTCAGAGGTCAGGCTGGTGGCCATGCCAGTTGGTGGCTCTGGGCCTTGAACAGCCTGCTGACCCATGGCCAACCCTGGCACAGATTTATCGTGCAAGCATTCAGGTTACCCCACAACTCGGCCACAAGCCCTCAATGCACTCATCCATAAGCTCCACAGAATGTTCATCAGCTGATGTGCCACTGTTCCCAGGCTGGCTTTTCCCAGCCACTCCTTCCCACCCTCCTGAGCTTCCTGCCCATTCCTTGGTCGTGTAATACACACAGATGACATGTGCTCAAACTAGAAAACACGGAAGACATATCTCAGCATGTCTAAGTCCCCAAATAAGTGCCCTCTTGACGCCCCGTGTGTCCTTCCCACCTATTTCAGGGATCAGTGGACACTCATGAGGATACCTCAGCCTCAGACACTGCCACAATTCTCAGCCTTTTATCTGTTTGCCTATTTGCAAAGGTGTGAAGCAGTGGGGTACAGGGTTGATGCCAGAGAAAGTGAGAGGGACAGAGAGGGCTGGGGAGCAGAATGAAGGACACAGCCTAGGAGTCTGGAACCAGGGGAGGAAGCTGTGGTGACTTCTCTCTGGCTGGCTAGCTGCTCCACTGTGATGACAAGGAACCTAGAGGCACGGCACAGGCTTAGCTGTGGGGTATTTGGGGTTTTGTCTCTGGGTAAATATTAGGTCTCCTGGGCTGATACACATACTGTGTCCTGAGTTATTTGGGATGAATATATGTGCCTGGTAGAATCCTATATCTTGTGATAGAGCAAACTGCAGAGCTTTGTCTCACTGGCCTGTTTTCTCATCCACAAAATGGGGATAAGACCTACCTTATGAAATTGACACTGGTGCTATCTGAATCAGATATCATTATGAACAGAAAGAGTCCTGAGAGTGGCGAAGCCATGTCCAAGACCCTGCCAGGAGTCCCTAGCAGAGGAGGACTCACTGCCTCTCTCACCTGCATGTACAGAGGGACTGGGTTCAGGACACTGGCGACAGAATGTCTCACTGCAAGAAACTGCCTGGGACATCCTGACTCCTCTTCCGACTCCTTGCCGTGCTTCATCTGGCAATCATCTCAGTCACTGTGCCCATGGGGATGGGGATGGGTTTAGGCACCACATATAATGCCTGTGGCTCTTATGGAATGGGAGGTCCCAGTTCTCTCAGGCTGAATTTTCAAGTCTGCTGGGAGGGCTGGAATCCTTGTGGGAGGACAGTGAGCCATACCGCCTCTGGAGAGAGGAAGCCAGGAGGCTGAACAGCAGTCACCCTTGGAGTGACAGGCAATTTGGGTGGGATGGAGGAGCTAGAAGATCAGTCTGTGGCTCCTGGAGTGCTGCAGCCCGACTCCCGTCCAACCCTGTTCCCCAGAAGTGGGGATACCAGGAGACCCAAGGTGATGGCATGAGGCTGTGCAGGAGGTGGGGAAGGGAGGGAGGAGAGGCGCTGCTGGTAGAAAAGCAGTCCATCCACAAGAGAGCGCAGTTTCACATGTTTATTTTTGGCAGGAAGGAAATCATTGCAAACCTTTTGATTGACAATACTCGCCCCTGGAAACATGCACATTCCACATGTAGCATTTCCCAAGTAATGCTGGATTGTTTATCACATTCAAATGTCCAACAGAAATCCATGACTACCCAGACACCAGCATCTCCACTACCTGGGGTGGGGGAGGGTGTGTCAGTCTGCAGAGAAGCTCCTGGGAGAATGGAACAGGAACAGACATGATCAAATTTACAGTACGGTAGGAACAGAGGCAGCCAGTCAATTATGAACAGTTAACTGCAAGTACGTCAAGCCATCCACTCTTCTCAAACCCTGGCATGCCAACTGTCCAGCACAGCACCTTTAAGAGCAGAGGCACAAACGTAGGAGTGTTTGACCATAGGGCTGTGTGGTTCTGGATTTTTTATTAGAAAGCCATCTTTAAAAATACAGGGTTGTAAAATGTTGCCAGGTTATAGACTTAACGAATTTTTTTTTTTTTTAAACACCAAAAGTTCAAATGCTGCAACCATGACAAGTCAGCATCATTAGGGCATCCTCGTGTCCCCAGAGACATCTCATCAAAATTGCACCACGTCAAAGGACCTTCCTCACCATCAACTGTGGCAGGTGGCATTCCTTTTTCAGTATGCAAATGCATTACTTACAAACAGCTAATGCATGGAACAACAGACCAACACACAGGATTCCAGAACAAATGGAAGACAGAGCATTAACAACATTGGGAGTGCCCGTGCACTTCCACCAGAGGCCTGGCCAGAGAAGTCATAACATCATAGTGGGCTGGAGTCCACAAACCCAAGGTGTCCTGTCCCAGAGCTTAATGTCAAAAAGACTTCTCCAGAAGACTATATTTAAACCTGGTACAGAAAGGACCGTGGAAACTCAGGAGGTCAGGGTTCTCTTTTGACTAAAGAGTTGGGGGTATTTTGGTAACATGGGAAGTATATGGCACAGAGAAGTGGCTAACAGGTTTCATTAGGTTTCAAAGCCCACAATTTAATAAATGGTAATAATTAAAAACAATACCCGTATTTACCTTAAAAAACATAAACCCCAAACATTCATCTCATTTCTTGGCCTTATGTTAGAATTCTATTGCTTCATTTACATGTAGATGATTAAAAATATATATAGATATAGATATAGATATTTTGATTATATACATAAAGCAGGTTCAAGGGTTAAAATAAAAACGGAATTTTGGAGTGTGATCAAATAAGGTGCACAGATTCCAGAACCCTCAGAGGGCCTGCTGGCCCTCCCAAGACATTCTGTGTCTGTGGTGGCAGGAGCTGGGCCCCGTCCCTAACAGCTCTGCACTGGCTTAGTGCAACGGTGCTCACAGTTTCAGGAACTACTAGGTGAAATGTCTGGCTCAAGCCTGCCAAGTGTCTTCACTCCATCGTCAGAAGTGGAGCACTATTCCTAGGTTCGATTCCCCTGAAATATTTTACGATTTCCATCCTCTTTGCCCCCTCTTCCAAATAAGGCCCTGTGATGCCAACGAAGGGGGCATGGTTGAGGGTCTAAGGCTCTCATTAGGGCCTAATTCTGTGTGGATATCAACACATGACAGACACTTGACTGCAACATTCGAGACATTTAAGGCAGTGGGTTCATTTAATGACTATTTTTCCAAATAATAAAGGTTTGTGGCATGGGCAGTTCTACCATGTAACTGTCATTATCTGTGGTAATACCTAGCAAGGGGCTGTTCTATTTGAATTGGCGAGTGGATTACTGGGTTTGGGAGACCTGTTCATCCCCGAATACTTACTTCCTTTCTGAATATTCACACAGTAGTCCACAGACCAAAGTGCTGTTGGGAGGACGTAATTGGCAGCTGGCTTCATTACTTTGTGAATGAAAACAAAGCAAAGATATTTTACTTTGACCCCCGATTTCCAGTCTTGTTAATGCCAGTCACTCCCGCCAGAACGCTGGCTGAAGACCAACCCGCAGAGGACTAAGGCAATGGTGCCAACATGAAAGGGTCCTTTTTAATTGTTTTTAAGAGCAATACTTTACAGACCGTCTTGTTGTCAAACAAGGAACATGGCACTGCTTAAACACCAAACTGGGAAAGGTTGCAGAGCGCCTGGGCTCTCCTTGCAGGGAGGGAGGCTTTCCTCTCCCCGGTTTGGGGCATTGAGTCCCACATCTAGACAGGCTTCCCCAACCCTTGGCTCAGAAATAGGCTGTGCTTCAAAGGAGAAGACCAAGAGATGGACTTGGGCCACATCAGCTTGGTGGCTGGTTGAGGCCACGGGTTCTCAAGAGAGAACAGTCAGCTTATTTATCAAACAGGATCTGTTACTGACTGCAGTTTAAAATCCATGCCACACCTAAGTGGTGCTTTGGCCCTTTTGCCTTTGTACCCTTCAGTGGCCAATGCCAGGAAAGGGTTACAGGTGGTGGAGGCTGCAATGGGGTGGGACACCTCTGTTTTTGACCCTGTCCGAGTTTGTAGCTTAGCAGTGAGCATATTCTGAGCATAGGCACAGTGGCAAAGAACAGTGTAACAGCCGCTGGTCAATTCCATTTGGTGGCAGCGCGGTAGCAGCAAGGAAAATTCCCAAACAGCTCCATATGTATCCAGCTTTTGGAAAGGAAAGATTTAAAAATCAATAAACATTTATTTTATATCCAAAAGTTTTAGGGTTTCTTGTAACTGCTCTACCCCAAACAATAACAACAAAAAACACAAATGTATGGCAGTAGTGTAAGAGCAGAATGGACAGGATGTCACTTTTCAAGGGGAAAATGTGACCTCAAGACAAAGTTGTCACCATCAGAAATAATAATATAAAATAATCTATTGTTTCCTAAAGTGTTGAGCTACACAATTGCAGATACATTCCAAACTGGGTCAAAAATGAGTGGAGACAATGACATAGTCATGAAATCCTCCTATCAGGAGCCTGACCCTGCAGCATGCCACAGGTTGTCAGAGCAAAGTCACAGCCTGTTGGGGGACAGGCTCCTGTGACTCACTCCCCTCCCTCAGCACCCCCCGCCACACACACACACACACACACACTACCAGGTTCTAGAAAATTGTCATGTTCATCTTCTTATAGTATCTAAGACAATAAAAGACTCAACGATGTCTGGAAATATGTTGTGTAGAAAAATTAACTCTCAGCTTAAAATAACATTCAAAAGGCACTTCTTCCTGTAGGAAAGAGATTCTGAGTTGGGTCAGCTGCTCCGAGCTGGGATAGAAGGGGACAGGTGGTCTGCTTGGAAGGGAGGACAGTTGAAAGGAAGTCTGATAGAGATCAAGCTTTTTTTTTTTTTTTTTTTTCTATTTTTTTCTTTTTGGTATGTTTTAAGAAAAGCAAATCCAGTAAAATGCATGTCCCTTTATGAAATTTGTTAAAAGAGTTCTTTTAAAATAGTTGTTTCTGTTCTTAAAAAAACAAAACAGGTAGGCATGGCCACATTCACCCTGTGGCATGGAGCACGGAGTATCCTCACTTTCAGCTTCCAGGGAGCTGAGGACAGGCAGGTCCCCTGAGGCCAGAGGTTCCAGAGTGCACAGGCGGGAGGCAGGCAGAGGCCAGGGCTACCTATTGCAGAGTCTATGCAGCATGCTGTACACGTCGTCCTCCCGGCTCAGGCCCTCAAAGAAGGGGATGAGGTCCAGCAGCTCCGTGTCCGTCATGTCATCGAACCAGGACTGCACAGGCACCTGGAAGACAGTGCATGGAGGAGGCAGCAGGACTGCATCTAGCGCTGGGGGCTGCTCCTAACCTAAGTGGGTACCCGGACTTTGAGCATTTTCTTTGGTAAGGACAACTGGTGTCATCATCGTTATCATCATCATTTTGTTTGTTCCCTTGTTCAAATCGAGGCCAATCCAAAGCTAAATGGCTTGGGAGATGGCTCAGGGAGGCAAAGTTAAATGTAGCCAGTTTGTATGCATTTGCCTGTTTTGTTTTCCTGCCACAGAAAAGGTGGCCAGAGCATAGCATAGAATGTATGAGAACTAGCCTTGCTACTTGCCAACTTCCAAAAGCGCTTTCTACTGCACAAGTCGGCTCCTTGCACCTCAGAGCACTTGGAGTCAGAGGTTACATGCTAACCACTGACAGCGGGGAGCTCACATCCAGGACACAGGAAGGCTTTCACTTAGGGTCACTGTGCAATATTACACCACAAAGAGAAGTGGTAAATTTCCTCCCTTGCTTAACAGTGGTTAGTTAAAAGCAGATGTCTAAAACTGTAGAACATTCTGAAGCTATGGGCAAAGACAGGATTTTCCCTTAGTTTTAGGCAGAGGAGTGGCGAGGGGTGGTAGCCAGGGGTACAAAGAAGAGATTTATAAATAAATTTGAATAAACCAAACATGTTTAAAAGTAACATTTTAGCCCTTTTTCAAATCTAAAGATAGCTTAGAAACACAGACATTTATTACATAATTTTGAAAAATAAAGTAAGAGTTAATAAAGAAATGACTACGCCTAGGGGATGGGGAGAGAGTGGAGGAGAGGCAGAAATGAACAGACTTCTCCATCTTTATTTATAGGTTTGATGTTGGAACCATGTATATGTGTTATAAATTAAAATACAATTAAACCATTAAGAAAAAAAGCAATAAAAGTCAATCTAAGTGTATATAAAATTGGTGACACAACCACACAATTACTTCAAGTGATTTGTGTGCGTGTGTGAGACAGGGTCACACTCTGTCTCCCATGCTGGAGTGCAGTGGTACAATCATAGCTCTGCAGCCTTGACCTCCTGGGCTCAAGTGATCCTTCCATTCAGCCTCCCAAGTAGCTGGGACTATAGGCATGTGACACCATGCTTGGCTAATTTTTTTTTTTTTGAGACGGAGTTTTGCTCTTGTTGCCCAGGCTGGAGTGCAATGGCGTGATCTCGGCTCACTGCAACCTCCACCTCCTGGGTTCTCCTGCCTCAGCCTCCTGAGTAGCTGGGATTACATGTGCCTGCTGCCATGCCCAGCTAGTTTTTGTATTTTAGTAGAGACAGGGTTTCGCCATGTTGGTCAGGCTGGTCTTGAACTCCTGACCTCAGGTGATCCACCCCCTTGGCCTCCCAAAGTGCTGGGATTACAGGCGTGAGCCACCACCCCCAGCCTTTCTTTTTTTTTTTAGTAGTGATGGGATCTTGCTTTGTTGCCCAGGGTGGTTTCAAACTTCTGAGCTCAAGCAATCCTCCCTCCTCAGCCTCCCAAAGTGCTGGGATTACAGGCAGCCAGGTAAGCCACCAAGCCTGATATCCAAGTGATTTTAAAACATGGTGTTATAACTGTACATCTCTCTAAAAATTCCTAAGCTGCATACAGTTGTCTTATTATTAGTCATAATTTAGTACTGCTACTGAAATTATTCAACATATACTACAGAATAAATCAAATATATAATTATGTTAATATCTTTAGAAATCAAGAGTTGCAGCATAAGATAAAGAGATACAAATACAAAACAAAGAAGCGAAGAAGTTACATAAAAACTTAACATTGAAATGGAAAAACCAGTATGAACTTATGATTTAGTTTTCTTTCTAAAAATATGTCATTTTTAGCTCTGCCCTGAGGTATGGGCTAGAAGTAAAGTATATTCCATTAGCAATGAAAATTCGCCTAAACCGTGGTCTCTAAATACCACTTCCACTAATAGGAACCAGGCACCATACAAAAATGGGTGGTTCCAGGGCTGAGGCAAGAAATGTTCATGAAGAGCCTGGAACATCTTGTTGTTTAAGAAAGCAAGGAAGCTACAGGTTGAGCATCCCTAATCTGAAAAAATCTGAGTTCCAAAATGCCCCAAAATCCAAAATTTTTTGAGCACTGACATGGCACCACAAGTGGAAAATTCTATACCTGACCTCATGTGCTGGGTGGCAGTGAAAATGCAGGCACATGATACATGGTTTATTTAGTGTCCCCAAATTATAAAAAATATTGTATAAAATTACCTTTAGGCTATGTGTACAAGTTGTACATAAAACAGAAATGAATTTCATGTTTAGACTTGGTTCCATGCCCAAGATATCCAATTATGTATATGCAAATATTCCAAAATCCTAAAAAATCCAAAATCCAAAACACTTCTGGTACCAAGCATTTTAGATAAAGAATATTCAACCTATATCAAAGACTTGTTATTTTAAGGGATCTCCATAGCCAAAGGTGAAAATTTGAGCATGCAAAAGAATAACAAATGGGCTGAAACTACAACAAATCCATGAGTTCATAATGATACTAAAAAAAAATTATTGGCTACTTTTGGAGGCCGCTAGGACACCAACTCATTAGTCTGAAAATAGAAATTGCCATTTTGCAATTCCTCATGAAATAGTGGGTGTAGACAATGATCACCAACAACTGCTAAAATTATGAGGTGAGAGGTTCATGGGGAATTTTATAATAGATGGATCAGGCTAACACCACCTGAACCCAATAATCAATTTTAAATCTTTAAAAGTGGGGTAACCTGACATTTTATGCCTCCTGATATATCTTCATAAGCATATAATACCTATGATGTATTCTTTTTTCTTCTTTTTTTTGAGATAGGGTCTTGCTCTGTCACTCAGGCTGAAGTGCAGTGGCATGAACATGGCTCACTGCAGCCTCGACCTCCTGGGCTCAAGAGATCTTCCCACCTCAGCCTCCCAAGTAGCTGGAACCACAATGGAACCACAGGTGTGTGCCACCCCATCTGGCTAATTTTTCTTTTTTTAAGAGATAGGGTTTTGCCATGTTGCTCAGGCTGGTCTCAAACTCCTGGGCTCAAGCGATCACCTGCCTTGGCCTCCCAAAGTGCTGGGATTATAGGTGTGAGCCATTGCATCTGGCCTCTATGATATATTCTTGCAAAAAAAAAAGAAAAAAAAATCTAATCAAGCAGTAGAGCTCTAATTACTTGTTTAGAGGATATAAGGTGGCTATAAAAACATACTAAACATCATCACAAGGCAGCAGCTGGACAAATCCAGAATGTAGGAGATTTCTACAAGACAAAACACCAGGGCTTCTTCAACAAATAAATGGCATAAAAGAGAAAAGGGGAGGAAGGGGAGACGTTAAGTTTACAAAAGAATGAAGAGACATGGTAACCAAAGCAATGCATGGATCTTTTTGGATCCCCATTGAAATACTCCAAATGCATGACACTTCGAGATGACAGGGACAATGTGAACACAGTCTGGATATTAGACAATGTAAGAAACTGTTACTTTGTCAGATCTGACCATGACTTGTGATTATATTAAAAAGAAATCCTTATCCATTAGAGACACGTTACCAAATATATTATGTTGAATTTGATTTACTCAGTAAAATGAACATATTTACATATAAATACATTTGGGGTATTTATTCAAATAATGATTCCACACTAGCCAAATGAATCGCGTTTGAATTGTTTTTGGTTACAAGCAGGACTGCAGAGTTCTGGATTCAAGGAAAGGACTTTTGCAGGCTTTTGTAGAATCTGAGAAGCCTGTGCTTGAGAGGAAGCATCCTCTCCAGGGAAACATGCCTGGTCTAGGGGCCTGATGTGGCAGTGACTGAGGGGTCAGCAGTCACCAGAGGCCCTGGTTGGCCTCTCTTCCCCTGGAAGTGTCGGGCAGCAGGCAGGAAGGCAGTCCCTCTTGCCCTGAGAGTTGTGCGGCACCCGGTGAGTAGGCACCGAGAGCTGCCATGGTCCAGGGAGCTTTATGTAGGAAATGTTCCCAATGGGTGCTTTTTAGACATCATGATGAGGTAGCAAAGCTTGGTAGTCTCATTTGAAGACCTTATTGAAGTGTTTTATTCATTTTTTTTTTTTTTTGAGACGGAGTCTCCCTCTGTCACCAGGCTGGAGTGCAGTGGTGGGATCTCAGCTCACTGCAACCTCTGCCTCCTGGGTTCAAGTGATTGCCCTGCCTCAGCCTCCCGAGTAGCTGGGACTACAGGTGCATGCCACCGCGCCCAGCTAATTTTTTATATTTTAGTAGAGACGGGGTTTTACCATGTTGGCCAGGATGGTCTTGATCACCTGACCTTGTGATCCGTCCACCTCGGCCTCCCAAAGGGCTGGGATTACAGGCATGAGCCACCATGCCTGGCCTATTCATTCTTAAGAAATACTTCTGTTAAAGAGATCAATCAGGCCTCCTTAGTCTACAGGGGTCATGAAGTCCTAGGCAGTAGCTGGCTCCAGGAGGTTAATGCCAACAGAACCCTTGTCAATAACAATACTAAAAATATTGATAAGACGATACAGGCTTATAGCATTTATCAGTCTCAAGCACTGTTCTAAGTGCTTTTTGTATATTGCCACACTGCAACCTCCAATAATCCTATGAGATCAGCATTCCTATAATTCCCGTTTGACAGATGAGGCAACCGAGGCTCAATGAGGTTACATAACTTGCTCAATGATGTGCAACTGCTAAATGGCAGAGCTGGGATTTCATTAGGAAAAGACCCAGAGACCTTCTTTTGTAGGTGCTTAAAAGTGGTGCTGCCTGGCAAGACAGAGGGCTCAGATGGAGCATGACATTTTCTTTCTTTGGGGCCACTTACTGCATTCTCAGGATGGAAGATGTATGAGGCAGGGGAATTGTCGACAATGATCACTTTGCTCAGCTCCCGCCCAAGGCGACTTAGGTCCTTCACATAGTTCCCACGATGAAAAACACATGATTCTCTGAAGAGCCGGGCCCGGAACACACCCCAGCGGTCTAGGAGGTCAGCCACAGGGTCTGCATACTGGAAAAGAGGTGTCACAATGAAGGCTGCGTGCCTAAAAGAGTCCCCAAACCCCTGACCTACAGCAGCAAGATCCAGATTATGTTTTTTAAAAAGGGATTTAATAATTAGATGTGTTTTAGGATCCTGGTTATTTTCCTCTCTGTATACATAAGATGGCACCGGATTCTTCCATTTCTCTCACATCCAACCCATCAGAAATTGTCAGTTTCATCTCCAAAAATAGCCTGACTCCATTTGCATCTCTCTATTTATATTGCCACCACTCTTAGCCCGGGCCTCGAATCTCTGGCCTGGGATGGCTGTGTGAGCCTTGTGAAAAACCTGTCTTTCCCAAGGGGCCTCCTTTCTAGCCCATTCACCTAGAAGCTGTCAGAGTGGTCACTGGAAAACATATGTGTGATCGTGTCACTCCTGTGCTGAAAACTCCACTGTCTACACACTGCACTTGGAGTAAAGCCCACATTCCTCACTGCCGTGTCCCACATGGCCACAGCTGAATGATCTCCATCTGGAGCTCCTGGAGCCACACTGGCTTTAAGCATGGTCAGGACCTTTGTACCAGTGTTCTCTCTGCATGCGTTCTCTCCCAGCTCTTTGCAGAACATTTGTCTTCTGGTTTTTCAGTCTTGACTTCCTCTCCCATCCATCTAGAGCCACCTCTATCTTCCTTTCTGGGTTGTTTCCCTCACAGAGTAGAGCACCACATGGGATTGCTTGATTTCCTCACTACTTGTCAGGGCCCAGGCCTGAAACATCCCACCACCACATCCCTGGCACCTCCAAGAGTACCTACCACAACAGGGGCTCAGGAAACACGAATTTCACCACTGAATGAATGAGCTGGCTCCAATGTGTCTTGAATGGCATGACACTGCCCCCTAGAGGTCCCGTGGGCACTTGGGTCAGACCAGCTGCTGAGTGACAGGATGGTGCCCAGCCATCCACTCCCATGGATGCCCATCCACTTCCTTGAAGCCCAGGAGCTGGATGGGAATTTGAGCCCAGCTTACAGTTGGGGATCATCCTGCCTGACCCCCTCTCATGACCTAGGGAATTTCCCCCAAAGCAGGCTTGGATAAAGAAATAAAGGGGTTTCTGAGAGAAAATCCTCATAACTGAAGATATGTAAAAGAGTGGACCATACTGAGTGGCTGGGCCTGGAAGAAAGAGGAGCAGTTTCCAAGCCTGACCCGAGGCCAGGCCCCTGCACAAAGACCAAGTAAGGGGTACAACCAGGCATCAGCGGGACCCAGTGACTCTGCCAGGGAGGCAGAGAGCACCTGTGGCTGGTGGCGCTGGGAAGGCCAGCAGTGGAGTGCAGAGCAAGTGCCGGCACAGCTGTGGGACGTGGGCTGCAGAGCTGCAGGCAGCAGCTGTGATTCCACGGGAACATCCTCTCCTCTCCAAGGACATCCTGTAGAAGGCAGAGTCCAGGAGCAGCTGTGTTTCCTACTGGCCAAGGGAGGTGAGAGCTCAGGGCACTGGAGGTGAGAGCTCAGGGCACTACAGCTACCTGCTGGTGAGGCTAGCCAGGGGCCACGTGGGTGGGTTGTGGGCAACTGAGTCCAGATCAGGGGTATCCCATCTTTCAGCTTCCCTGGGCCATATTGGAAGAATTGTCTTGGGTCACACATAAAACACCACCACTAACAATAGGTGACGAGCTTTCAAAAAATCTCATGTTTTAAGAAAGTTTATGAATTTGTGTTGGGCCACATCTAAAGCTGTTCTGGGCTGTACACAGCCTGTGGGTCACAGGTTGGACAAGCTTGCTCTAAATGGAAAAAGATGATCCATTTCCTCATAATCATGAACACTTGTGGTGGCACCTATCTTTCAAAAAAGTGTCTGAGTCTGAGGCCTGGAGGATGAATGTGAAGAATGTAAGCTTCACAAGGGCAGGGACTTTGTCTCTTTTTTTCTTTGCTATATCCCCAGGATTTAGTACTGTGCCTGATACATAATAGGTACTAAGTAAGTATTTGCTGGGTGAATGAAGGAAGAAATGACAAAGAAGCAGATACTGAAAGGCTATGACAGTCAGCTTGAGGTTCCTGCAGGCTCCTGGGCAGCAGGCAAGGAGGTCCACTGCACCACTACTGCTGGCTGGGAGCCGAGCCCAGAGCCAAGGACAGGGACATGACTACCCATCAGCAGGACATGTGCATCAGGGAGGAAAGAGGGTGGAAGGCTGCACTTGGAAGCTGATTCGGCTCAGCTAGGCTGGAGTAGCAGTGAGAGAAGGGTTGAAGAGACAGATGGAGGGGCAGGTGGGAGCCATCCAGGAAGAGAAACCGAACAAGGATGTTTAAGCAAATGCTGGGGACAATGCCAAGGAAGAGTGTTTTCAATTTTCCCAAACAAAAACCAGCTCTCACTTCACTGCTACCGGTGCAATCTTCTTGTTTATTTCTTTGGTTATTACTTCAGGCTCTTCAGCATCTCAGAGCACTGTTGGAAGAGCCACTGACGCTACAGATAACAATTAGGCTTGGTACCACTCATCTGAAAGATGACCCACTGGGGAAGATTCTATTTTCCCTGCGGCCTTGTTCTCTTTTTGACATGCAAAAATAGGGGCCAGGATTTTGAATCCCACTCCACTGGCTTATGCTCTAAGGCCTGGTGATGAGTCTGGCAGCATTTGTGCAAGTGGGGCTCTCGCTCCCCTCCATCATCACAAAGAGGGACCCAACCAGCAATGGCCAGGTCAGCAAAGCAGTGGAACACACAGAGGAAGAGAAGGGAGTGTGGGCACCAGGGCACCATCCAGAAGCAGGACATGGCAGAGGAAGCTACTGTGTGATGTCCTGGAGACAGGCAAATGGCTAATCTGAGCCCCAGAAAACTCATCTTTGGGACCACTCAGGGTCCCTGAGATGCCCATGGAGACAACTGTGGTGCTACCAACAAATGGATGGTGTCAGCCCCATCAAAGTCAGAGTTTCGAAGTGGTCAAGGCAAGGATCTTCTGGGAGGAGCAAGGCCTATCCTGCCTGCCCACACAGCATGGGCACCCTGCCACACCTGTGAAGGGGAACACTAAACCATACTGGGAGGCTTGGGAATCTGCTAGTTTCCTTAAACAGTGGAGAGGACAAAGAAATCATTCTTTTTGGTCAGAGCCAGTGTAGATTTTAGGTCAGATTCATATCAAGCTTTAGGATCAAGACATGTCTGAATGATTTTATTACCATCAACAAATATATGTATACATATTTTTGAGATGGAGTCACTGTTGCTCAGGGTGGAGTGCAGTGGTGCGATCTCAGCTCACTGCAACCTCTGCCTTCTGGGTTCAAGCAATTCTCGTGCCTCAGCCTCCCGAGTAGCTGGGATTACAGGTGCCCACCACCATGCCCAGCTAATTTTTGTATTTTGAGTAGAGATGGGGTTTCACCATGTTGGTCAGGCTGGTCTTGAACTCCTGACTTCAAGTGACACACCCTCCTTGGCCTCCCAAAGTGTTGGGATTACAGGCATGAGCAATCATGCCCGGCCTATTATCATCAATAAATAATTGTAACACAAAATAATGAACATCAGGAGTGTTTACCACGTGACAATGCCCACCACATTATGTAGAACACAGCAAGTGCTCAATGAATACTTGCTGTATGTGAGTCAGACACTGTGCTAAGTCCTTTACATCTGTTATTTCATGTGATCTAGCCACAAGGTGAATGGAATTATCCCCAATTTATAGAAGAAACCGACATGAGAAGTGAAGTAACTTGCCTCAGATCATACAGCTCATTAGGGCAGTCGGAACTCTCATTCAGCCCATGCATGTGGGGGAGTGCCCAACACTTATCTCTCACTTGCTTCTTCCTCAAATCTGTGGAAGCAAAACCCAAGGACACAGGGGCCTCTAGCATTTGGTGGACAGTCAATGGTTGAGGGGTACACCATCCTTTGTCTGTTACACTGGACCTGTTTGTGATTCTCTGGACTGTGGACATCCAGCTTCAGGTGGCTGCATACAGCAACATCATGGAGCATTTGTTCTAAGTGCTCCCTGTCACCATGGTAACCCAGAAGGCTTTCAGGCTGGCACCATGCACATGGCCTGCATCCATCCCATCTGGGGTGGGAACCTGTCACCATAGAAATAGCCTCCCCCACCAAAACAAAGGGCTGCTTGACAGATTGGGGGTAGGGGTGGAGGGGCTGGGAGTACCAGGCTGCGAGTGTGGGGCTGGGAAGCAGGACTCACCTTGGCCAAGCTGGCAGTAAAGAGCACACATTCAAAAAGCTGTCCCATCCTCTGGAGGAACTCATCCACGTGTGGCCGCTTCAGCACATACACCTGCAATGGCAGGAGACAGCAGACTGGTCAGGTGTGGCAGTTGCTGGGGATGGCCCGGGGCCCAAATGCCCACTGTAGGAAGAACTGCTACTAAGGTTCCTGCCTCCCTCCTCCAGGTCTATGCACAGCAGGCAGAGGCCCAGACTGTATGAGGGGCTATGGAGTCAGACGTGGCACTCCTCGGACAGGGCTCCAGGTCTGAGTTCACTGCAGACGCCCCTCCTAAGGGAAAAGAGAAGCTGACCATGGTGTGAGGGTCTTGGGGATATTCAGGGCCAGCAAGTAGAAGGGTTGTACCATGTTTGTGTGTAATGACTGATTCATTTCATGTGTGTTTCTTGGCACCTGCTGAAGGTCAGGACCTATATGGGCACAGGCCATGGTCTGGGTGTTGTCCTTTTAGAGGTCCAGGCCCAGCCTACTGCCCAGCAGGTCTGGGATTGCTCTGGTTGCCACCTTCTGTTCTGGATGGACACCCCCCTTACTAGGAAGGTCTGGGGTTGAAGCACAGGCCCAGCAAAGCTGCAAGAAGGGGCTTCCTTGTCAGCTTGGGAAGATGTCTATGACACCATAAAGGTTGGGCTTGGTACATTTCAGGGGATATGAAACCATCCTATTTCTGGACCCCAGACATAACCCATCAGGAGGGGTCTCTGAGCAGAGGGGTACAAAGAGTAGCGTTTTCTAGAATGGCTGGGCTCTGTGTACCCTTTTGACCAGGCGGGTAGAAGGGCCAGGCTTCAGACCATACATTGGCTCCTGATTAGGGAGCCTGAATGAATCTGGGGAAACAAGGGAGATGGGAGAAAAGGCAAAGCTGGTGAGAGAAGACAGAGGAAGTGGGAGGAGGGAAAAACTAATTCAAACTTGAATAAATTCCGTTTGAAATTAGCCACTTCACTAAAATAAATCAAACTCTTTAAAATTCAATTCAGCATATTTACTGAGCCCCAGCTCTGAGCTCAGTCTGATGTAGTTGCAAAGATGAATAAAACACAGGCCTTGCCCTTGAAGAGCTCACACTCTAGAACAGACATAGGCAAAAACATATAAAAATAAACATGACATAATGAAAGTTGTAGTAGAGGGATAAATTAAGGACAATTAACTCCCCTCACAAGGAGAGGGGATCATAGAAGATAACATCTGGCCTGGACGTTGAAGGATAAATAGGAGTTCACCAGGCCAATAAGGATGACAAGAAGTGGGCTTCCAGGCAGAGGAAACAGTAGAGCGTGAGACCTGAGGCCTGAGAATACTTGAGATGTTAGAGAGTAGCCAGGCTGTGTGCCCAGCCATCAGAGGCAGTGAGAGAAGCAGGAGCAGCAGGGGTTGGGAGAGGAAGTGGCTGAAGATGAAGTGAGAGGCAGGTCATGGTGGGCACGTTAGGGCCTTGAATGGCAGATGGAGCAGGTGAGAATGGCAGGAGGAGCAGCAGAGGGGAGATAGATGGGGACTCTGCACCACATGCTGGGCGTGCTGCTGGCTGAGGAATTCTACACAGAACCAAGGCATTTTCAAGGTGCCAGAAGCAGGAGCTCAGGAGGGCCAGGACTCAGGGAGAAATTCATGGATGACTGAAAGAAGGAGGTCAACATGGGTTTGTGGCTGAGGGTGGAGCGAGGGGCTGGAGGAACAGGATGTCATAGCATGGATACCAGCACAGTTCTGAGGAGCTGGGAGGCTGGGGAAGGGCTGAGGGCAGGGCCTGTGGCTGCAACAGCTCCAGACTCCCACTTTGCCCACAAGACTCCTCGTTGCCAGCAAACAGGTGTGGCCTGTAGTCCTCCGTCTCCCTGGGAGTCCTGCTTGGAAAGCAAGCTTTGCTACATGCAAAGGGCAGGAGACTGATTTGGGAACTCTGGTGTTGGTGCCTCTGGCAGAGACGTGGGTCCTGAGCCCGGATGCCGGCGTCCAGGCCCGCGTCCCCGTGCAAGTAACCAAGAATAGGCCCATTGGGACCTGCACAGCCTATCCTGGATTACTTGAACGAGGCCACGGCCTTCGCCAGGGCCTTGGTCCTCCTGCTCTTGGCTCCTGTGGCTTCATTCCCTCGGGAGAGAATTTCTGACCCCAGCCCTGGGACCTTGTGGTATCACAGCACAGCCAAGATGGAGGGTGGGGGAGCTACAGTGGCTCCTGCAAGAATGGGTCAGCAGTGGGCAGGGTGGTCATGCTTACAGTCACGTGGTACAAAGGATTAATTTCTCTCCTAATTCTTGACATGCCATTGGGCAGCCTCTCCTTTGTCTCATCATGAGCACTATGTAACACAAGCCAAGATGATAAATGCAGAAGCCTTAACTGCTTCTCAGATGCTGAGTTAATTCAGTTGATGCTTTTGCAAATGTTAAATGCCCAAGTGCCTGCCGTTTTGGCTCTGTGATGGCTTTTAAAAGCATGAAGTGTGGAAACACTAAGGAAAAAGCTGCCTCTCCCGGGGACTGTTTCCTGGCAGGACATCCTGGAGAATAAGCAAGAAAGCAAGGACAAGGGAGGGAAGGGACTTGAGTATCAGGAAAAGAGCCCTGGGCCAGGAGGCAGGAGACTGGAATTTTCATTTTAATTCTTCCCATTGTATGACCTTGAACCAACCCCTTCCCTGGCAAAGCCTCAGTTTCTCCATCTAGACAATGAGGCAGCTGGACCAGCTGATTCCCAAGCTTTCACGAGTTCTGACACCTTGCACTCAAGAACCAAAGACTACTGACATTGCTAAGAAAAGATATCCCGTTGTGGCTCAAGTACCAGGAAAGTCTCTTTCCTGGGATATCAGGCCAGATACGCTCCCTTTAAGACCTTGGACTTGACAAGGAATATGGTTAGATCATCCCTGTGGAAAACCTGACAAAAGCTCCCCGGCTTCAACCTCTAAGGCTAGTTTTCCTACAACGTTTCCAATTTGTTCATAAATGAAGCTATTTCCAGAAAAGCTTTATGCAGATAAGGAAAAAAAACCAGAAGCAACGAAAATGCATGCCAACTGACTACGACATCTTTATTCATAGCAGCCTGCGGATCTGAAAACTTAACACCCTTCCCCCTTTTTCTTTTGGGTTGGGTATTTGCTAAAGATTCTCTGGAGAAAACGATGCGGGAATGACAAGATCAGTCTGGAGCAGCTGGCATTGAAAATGGACACTTTTTTCCCGAGAATCCACCATAAGTGGGTGACTTGTGGCATTTTCCTGTTGCCTGCTAGGAGAGTAGCCGAAAGCAATTACACAAGGAAGTTAATTAGACCATCAAGCTAGGCCAGTGGGGGATATGGAAACTTCTGAAAGTCTGCTTCAAATCAAAGAACTATTTGAACTTGTAACCACATCTAATATTTACGACTACAGTTTTTCTTATAATCTCAGTATAAAATAAATTCATTGGAGTGAAAAAAAGAAGAATATTGTATTTATTACAGTATTCTTCCTTTTGATTCAGTAATAAGGAATTATTACTGAAATGAGAATTTAGAAATAAAGTTCATAGGAAATGTAATTACTAAAAAATCTTAATTGTAACTCAAATTTAGCTTCAATTTCTTACCTGATGTATAGTTCCATCGATTTCAACCGGAACAATAAAATCAGCATTACTAATAGGCTAGAGAAAAAAGAGACTATAATTAATATGTCTGAAGGAACAAAAAAGCCTGGAAATTTTAGCAAGAAAAAAGCTTGCCTGGACCAATGTTTTGGTTATTGGAAAAAACAGTTCAGGAGGAGGATGCTGAAGCATGCCTTGGTTCCTTAAAATAAGCACAAGCAGGAAAGCACATTATTTTCCACTGTGAATGTCATTACATTTTCAGCATCTTGGTCCAATATCACCTGCCTGGCCTCAACCAAAAAGTGTGGCACTGCCTGGCTAGAGGATGGGGCTCCTGAAAACTCCACTTCTTGCCCAGAGTCCTGCTGGGGTGATGGGGAATCACTGCTAGCCACCAGGGGGAGGAGCTGAGCATGTGATGGGCTCAGAGGACAGTGTTGCTTGAGGGAAAACTATTTGTACTTGGACCCACGACTGGGGGCTGCCCTGTGATGGGCTGCTCAAAACAGTGCCAAGGCCATGTGGGGGTAAAGTCAGAGGCCACAGGCCATGCCCTTGGGCAGGCTCTTCCTCTCCCTGGACCTCAGTTTCTCCTCTCTTCCTTAGCTATTGTGATGGGTCTGATGCAGGCCCATGGCCCCAATCAGTCCTGAGAATCAGTGATTTCAGGCCCTCCCAGGTAGCCTGGCACCAGCTCCTGCCTTGGGTGGAGGTACAGAGCTAGCCCACTCTATGCCTGCTCTGCTCCAAGGAACACAACATCCGGCACACCCACAAACTTCTGGATATTTTAAATAACTCTTTGACAATATTAATGACATTTAAAATTCAAATATGATTCTTCAGCAGTCACTATGTTCTCAATGATGAACTTACACACAGTTCTCAATGAAATTCCACAAATTAGGTACAAAACTACTTAAATGAACAGGCCCAACTGAATCATCAGCATGCAAACCCCTGGACAAGAGAAGAGAGACAGAAGGAAGGAGAAGGTGTGTGTGGTAGCCACTGGGCAGGGGTGGGAGTACAGCGTCTCTGGTCAGACTCTGAACTGAGGTCTGCTTTTAAGCCCATCACGGTACACACAAACCCTCTTCATTGATATATAAACTAAAAAATAAAAACAAGAAAAACAAAAAACCATGGACAATGCTATGTCATAGCACCGTTACTAAGCACTTAGCTTACGATCACTGTTTATTTACTCCCAGAGTTGGAAGGCCAAGGATGAGTTCGGTATCATATAATTGCACAACTAAAATCAGAATCATGCTAAAAAACAAAAGGAAAGACTGAAGGAAGAAGCTCTCCCAAGGCATTAGATTATGGAATCACATTCCACGGAGTATATTAAAAGAGAAAAACCATTCCCCAGCTTACAGCAAGCACCATCCTTAATCTCCTCTCTCCTGCTGGTGTAAAGGAGACTCTGCTACAGCTAGGGTTCTTCACTTGGAATCCATGAACCTATGCATTGTACAAACGTACATTTTTGAAGGGAAGAGGGTTCATAGCTTTCAGATTCTCAAAAGACTTTGAAATGCCCAGAACTCTAAAAACCATCAAGAATATTCTGGTTGCAAATGCAGGCAGGCCAGGGGAGGGAAGAAACGAGGAAATGCCATTCACATTAGCTTGTGGCATCAATGACCTCTGAGCAGGTGCTAGAGACACTGGGGGCTACCAAGGCCCTGCCTTTGGAGCAAGGAACCCTCAGTAACATCAGGTGATCTGGCCAGTGTTGCCCGCACTCCCGTAGCTGCTTCGGAGGGAGTTCTCTATGCTGTGATGGCAACCGACCCCTGCTCTGAAGGGCTTTCCTTCACAGAGACTTGGAACAGTCCTGAGCAACTTGCCCATGGGGGAGAAACGGCTTCCAGTGCTATCTAGGGTTAAGCTGGGACACAAGGTCACCATATCCCCTGGACCAACTCTGGAAGGGCCTGGCCCTCAAGTGCTAGGGAATAAGGTGGTCCCTGTATGCCCCAGTGGCCAGAATAAGGCCATTTCTCACTGCTAGAGGTCAGTGTGGTCTCTTCTCCACTCTCCAAAGGACTCAAAGACAATTTTCTGGCTTTGCCCTACCAGAAAGGTCTCTGTTTAGTGAGAAGAACAAAGAAGGATGTTTCTGGTAGAAAGGTGTTCAGGCATATTTGACAGCTCTTCTGCTTCCTACAACTTGTAAGGAATGACTGTGGTTCATGTGAGACACATGCCCCACCATGGATGGTGACCTTCATGTCTCTCAGTGAAGGGGAGTCCTAGGCTGGTGGGGGAAATAGGAATGCAGTATAATGATAGAGCAGTCCCATTACCAGAAATAACCCAAGGAAAACAAGACCAGAATCCTAAACACCTGCTTCTTCTCCCCAAAATACCAATCTCCTCTTTTCATCATTTGCCTCTTTTAAACAATTTATTTCACGTCAAAAAAAAAAAAAAAAAAAAAGGTTAACTAACTCATTTCTTAACAGTGTCACCACAGCTCTTCCTGCATGGAGGCCATTTCTGCTGTTTTTCCAGCAGGAAGATGGAGATCAGGGAAGGTGACAGGAAGGAAGAGTGTCTGACCTCCACACCCTTTAGGAGGGAAGTCCTGATGGTGGGTACTCATTTAGCTGTGAAGCTTGCAAAAAACCCCAGCCACCTCTTGTCATGAAGATGCTCAAACTAAATGGCTGAATCTGTTCAGATGCCCTGAAGTCTGGAAAGTCTTCTTCAGAGTTGGGCATCTTTCAAAAATTGATCCGGGAAAATTTCCAGGATACCAGGTCATTCGACAGTTTCCAACAGAGCCTCCCTTCCTCGTCCCAATAAAATACATAGCACTCTGGTCATCTTGACAAATATAAACAGTGTCCTGGGGGCACTGAGTGCCTTGTGCCACCTGAAAAGTATTTCTGCAGGGGTTAGAGTGTTGGAAGATGCAAACCTCCTAAGTAAGAATGAGGTCCCAGTGATGTTGGTAGCTTAGTGGTTTCTTTCCAAACTAACTATGTTAATATTCAACTACTTTAGTTAATGTTCACCTGGGTTAATAAGCAGCTCCTGGGATTTCTACATGAAGAGTGAAGTTACACACTAACCACCATAAGCTTTCATCCTTTCTGTTTTCTCTTTTCCAATACAATTGTTATCAAATCACAAAGATCACAGATTTTTATGTTGATTTACCTTAAACGAACTGTGCACCAATGTTTCATCTAAATCAATGACCACACATTTCTTTCCATAGTCAAGCACCGTCACCTCTGGAAGAAGGTACTTAGCCGGTGGCTAAAGGGGAAAAATAAACCAATATTACCTTTATGTAAAAGACAAACCAATCAGTATTGTATTATACTACTTTCAAACATTTAAATGCCTGGTCAAGCATATAATGGACTTTTATTAAGAACAATAAGAATAAGTACTTTGCAACTGAAGCTTTATCAAACACTGTGCCACGATATGAATGACTACTATGAAGTCCTAGGCTTTGGAACCAGACAAACCTGGTTTCAATTATCAGCTCTGTCTCTGTCACTTTCTTGGTTGTAAATTGGGGTAATAACACCTACCATGAAAGGCTTTTGTTATCAGTTATAATGGCAATAAAACACCCAGCATTTTGCCTCACACATATACATACTGGTGGCTACAGTTGTTATTAAAATGGATTACACAAGAATGAGTATTTAATTATAATAGGTACTGTAACAATGGAGGTCTGTTTCATGGGGTCATATTTTGCCTGTGGCACATAAGTAGATTTTAGAGCTATGTTGGAACCACAGAATTTTCTTTTTTTTAGTGACTGAGATTTTTAAAAAACCTGAAGAGAAACTATAGGCCCACCAGCAAAATGTGGTCCAGAGTTACCCCCAGCACTAGGAAACAGAAATAAAACTAATCCAGGCACAGTGCCACCTTGTGCCACCACACTGTGGTATAATACTGAGCAAATGTGGTATTTTTACCCCTTGGATTCTCCGCCTCTGAAAGTTATACTTTAATCCACATGTTATTTGTTGACCAAACAATCTATTTATGTGTCTTAGTAGCAGGTGACTCAAATCTCATGATAAAGAAGTCATAAAGAGTTAATAAAATGCTAGGTATCTTCAGTCAACCATAAAATGCTCGGTATCTTTGGCCAATCTCACTCGATTTAGAGGATTTATTTCTTGAGGCCTTGCCTCATTCTAGAAATGATCTGAAGTATTTTAGTCTACTTTGTGGTATATTCAATATCCAGTGTTAACTAATTAATTTTCTGACCTGCACAGAAGGTCAAACTCTCTTTAATATTTGATACAAAAGAAAATACAAGGAAATATCTATTCTGAGCTCCCAAAGAATGGACAATTTCGTTCATCAAATAAAACAAGAAAAAAATGAAATCAAGCTGTATTTCCTTTTACGTGGCCATTTCCTCTTTTTATTTTTTTTGGTTCAAACTGAAAGTCAGTTAATGATCAAAAGTTAATTTTGAACTTTGGCTGGTTCATAGTAAATGTAACACAGGCAGTCAACAGGTTAGGTAAATTTGCAAGTACAATGGTCACCTTGGCAGAGAGAGACTGTCCAGGGTTGCCCAGGAAGAGGCTACGTGTGGAGACATAAACATTTCTAACTCCATGTTTCTTCCTTCCCAACGTCATCCAAAAGAAAGAGCCCTTCCGGCCTGTCACCTCTCTCAGCTGGAAGCAATCCTCCCTAATCCTGCAGCACTGTGAAGGGATGCGGGCGTGTGCCTTGGAGACAGGCACGGAATTCGAGGACCTAGAAAGGACTTTGTCCTCTATTACAAACCAGTGAGTCAGCAGGTTATTTTAAAAAAATTAAATTTGCAAAAAGTTTTGTATCAAAAGGTGTTTTAAAAAGGCAGAGTGTGATGAGCTAAGTGAACATAGTAGAGAGAATGTGAGTCATTTCTGTTGTTTGGGACAGAGCAGAAAGCATGCTTGTGACCAGAATAAAATTTGTTTGAATTTTTATTACACAATTATTTAATATAAAACACATTCTCATTGTAAAGATTATAGACACCAGACAGATAAAACACAATCATTCTCTTTTCTGTGTCTCCCTTTTGACATTAGTGTCTATCTAGTCCTTTTCCTATGTGTTTATAAACTACTAAAACATTGTAACTTATTAATTTAATTGTTAGCCTGGAAAATAAGGATCTAGAAATTCTAACCCTAGCATCTCTGAAAACGTCAAAGATCTGCCAAAAGTGGTTCATTTTCCAAACTCAAGAACAAAGATTACTTTCTTAGCACAGTTAACCCACACTTTACAAGCATTCTTTAACAGTAAGTAAAACCCCTCATGGTGTTATCTAAGACAGAAAAGTTAACAGTAAAACCCCTCATGGTAAGATCTAAGAGAGAAAATATGGAGAAGGGTGAGAAGGGTGAGACTCATATTAAGCAAGCTATTGATTTTAATTTGTGCTGTAGGGAACAAGGCCAAGTTGGGAGGCAGCAGGCTAGGAGGTTCCATTAATCCTCTGATGTTTCCTAAATGCACACAGCTTCCCTGAGAGCTTGGCTTTAGATTAATACAAATTCTTGAGCCCATGGGTAAGAATTCTTTGGGACAGCTGTGTCCTTGGAAATGTAAGGATGCTATAAAATGGCAATACAGTGCTTTGTTACTTCAGTTGATCTGTTCAGGTGATGCTTGAATCATTAACTAAGAAATGTCCTGAACCAAGTTTTCTCTGAGGTTTTCATAAAGCTGAAGAACAAGAGAAATACCAGTCATATCAAGAAAGGTCTTTCTTATACAAAATGACTTGCTCAAATGTACACAAAGAACATTGCTGGGGGGTGGGTGGAGGAGGACCACGGCTTGCCATCCATGGTTTGGGAATGGTATTCATTCCTGTTCCTTTCCTGGGAGTAAATCTGAAATTTCCTGTCCGGCAGAGCACTGGCAGTCATGAATAGTTAACACTAAGCTTATTTCCTCTTGGAGTACCCACCCCACAAACTCTTACAGATGTAGTACCTCTTCCTAGTACATTGGATTATTGTTTCCTTACTTAAGACTTCTCAGACTCAAGGTCTGCACGCTGTGCTCCCCAAGCCCTCAGAGCTCCGGGTGGATGTCAGGGCCCAACGCAGGAGGGGAGCAAGAGGATCTCTAGACTGCTTTTAATCAGAATAGCTGTCCTGCTTGTATATTCTTTATAATGCTTTTGTGGAAAGAAGTGTACTATTGCTGTATTAAAAGCCTTAGGCAAATAGCATAGAAACATAGCTGTTAGAAAACAAATCCTCTCCTCTTTCACCATGTTTATGGCTTGGTTACACTGCAAGCCTCATGTTTGTGAGCATCAGTGTGGTGTGTAATTTAAGCAAAAGTGTGGGGTCGGTAGGACTCAGGACACAGCCTCAGTGGCGTTCCTCACTGGGGTCAAGGCATTCGAGTGCTCACCTCAAGTCATGACCACCCATACATCAGCAGTTTCAAACTTTCGTTCCCTCTGCACCTTTTCCTTATCATTCAATACCCGATGTTCACCAAACAGCCCATGAAGCTTCCCACTAAGGAAGGCCCTAAATCCTGGCCCATAGTTGGGAGACGAATGATACTAATGGTAAGGATAAAAATGTCATTTCCAATAGGCATGCAAAACATGATTACTCACTAAATGGTGCTGGGACAACTGAGTAGCCACTTGGAAAAAAAGACAGTTTCCTACTTCATGCCTTACACCAACAAACATTCCAAATGGATCAAAGATTTAAAGGTGTAATGGTGAAACTATTAAAAACGATTAAAATACTAGAAGAAAATATACAATCAATGAGCATAAAGGATGACATTAATATTTACTTATATAAAATTAAAACTTCCTTGTGGCCAAAATAATTATAAACAAACAAGGCCAAAAGATATATATTTGGGGAAAAGTACTAGTTTCCTTAAAATTGAAAATGACAAGCAACACAGCATAAAAAACTAGAAGAAATGAATAGAGAAGAAGAAAGATAGCCAATGATCTTATGAAAAGCTGTTCAAACTCACTGATAAAGAAATGAGATAGGGTCCGGCTCTGTAGCCCAGGCTGGAGTGCAGTGGCGCCATCTCAGCTCACTGCAACCTCTGCCTACTGGGCTCAAGTGATCCTCCCAAGTAGCTGGGACTACAGGCATGCACTACCATGCCTGGTTAATTTTTTTTTTTTTTTTTTGAGACTGAGTTTTGCTCTTGTTGCCCAGGCTGGAGTGCAATGGTGCGATCTTGGCTCACTGCAACCTCCGCCTCCCAGGTTCAAGTGATTCTCCTGCCTCAGCTTCCCGAGTTCCCTGGGATTAAAAGCATGTACCACCACGCCCAGCTAATTGTATTTTTTTTTTTTTTTTTGAGACAGAGTTTTGCTTTTGTTGCCCAGGCTGGAGTGCAATGGCATGATCTCAGCTCACCGCAACCTCCCCTCCCAGGTTCAAGCAATTCTCCTGCTTCAGCCTTCCAAGTAGCTGGGATTACAGGCATGTGCCACCACACCCGGCTAATTTTGTATTTTTAGTAGAAACGGGGTTTCTCCAAGTTGGTCAGGCTGGTTTCGAACTCCCGACCTCAGGTGATCCACCCGCCTCAGCCTCCCAAAGTGCTGGGATTACAGGCGTGAGCCACTGCGCCCGGCCTAATTTTGTATTTTCAGTAGAGATGGGGTTTCTCCATATTGGTCAGGCTGGTCTGGAACTCCCAACCTCAGATGATCCACCCACCTCGGCCTCCCAAAGTGCTGGGATTACAGGCGTAAGCCACCGCACCCAGCCGCCATGCCCAGTTAATTTTGTGTATATTTTATAGAGATGGGGTTTCACCATGTTGCCCAGGCTGGTCGTGAACTCCTGAGCTGAAGCCATCTGCCTGCCTCGGTCTCTCCAAGCGCTTGGGTTATAGGCGTGAGCCACTGCTACCATTCTTTACTTTCAGATTAGCAAAGATTGAAACATTTGATAATCATTTTCAGTAAGGGTATGAGGCAATCTCATAGATACTTCATGGGAATGTAAATTAGCATAGGCTTTTGGACAACAATTTGGCTTTAATGTACCAATACTGTAATATTATATCCTTTGACCTAGCATTTCCACAAATAGAAACTGATCACAAAGAACTATCATACAAGTCCATTAGCACACAGAAAAGAGGATATTTTTAAGAGAAATATTTGTAATAGCACAGAAGTGGAAACAAAGTAAATGCCATCAGTGAAATATAAAACAATGAGGCAGATATATACCTACTAATATTTGGAAAGATGTTCAAGGCATCTTGTTAGAAAGTAACAAGCAATTTGCAGAATGGTGAATACAACACAACTTCATTTATATAACTATGTTTGTGTTTGTCTGGAAAACTTCTGGAAGGATAAATAACATACATTAAAAGTGGTACTACCTAGAAGGCAGTAGGATTACATTGAGCGATATTTTCTTTTTGCTTTAATCTTTCAACTTCATGTATATATGGTATGTATATATGTATTTCCACAGGTGTTAATCCCAAATCCTTCAATATTTAATAATTAACCATGAGCTTGAATTATTGTTTAGCAAAAAATTAAAAGACCAAACCTACACATACATACAAACAGAGCAGCATGCGAATGAAAAAAGAGGGGTGAAGTGACAGGCACAGATGGGGACCCCAGCTACAGTTGCTCTGGTCACCACAGGCTTAGAGGATTCTTTACCTTCAGGGCCTGAAGAAAGCTTTCAGGAGGTTGTGGGATCTGGTTTGGAGGTTCAGCACAAGCCCGGATTTCTGGTTCTATGCATGGAACCCTAAGATCTCAGGGCTCCCAGCACTGACCAGGTTCCCCTGAGGTCCAGAAAGGCCAGGACCACGCTGCTTACGTAACCTGCAGCCTTTTCAGGTAGGTGCAAATTTTGCAGGGGCTCCCAAGACTTGGTTCCAGGGCTGAGCTGGCCTCAGATGGACTTGGGATCAGTCCTATATGCTAAGCAGGCAGTGGAAATCACACTGTGCCCACTAGTGGAACTACTTTTCTGGAGGTCATCATTCAAAAATGCAAGTTCCTTTGGCTCGGCTGTTTCTTTGGGCAAGATAGTTCATAGGTTCACATGGCCTGACCCAACACCTCACATGTAGGACACAGTCAGCAGTTTATTATCCACCACCAGGATCCATTACATAAGGAATTTTCTTCTTGTTTCTCTTATTCCAGAATTCTATACATGGCTGAGTCTAGATTTGTGGGAAAAGGGTCCGTTTCTTCAGTGGGGTTTTTATACTGACAAGTGCTTTTGTTCTGCACTTAACTTTGCACATGGCTGCCAATTAGCTTTAAGAAAAAACAGTAATAGTGCCATTGAAGGTGGAAGGAGAGATGCTACCTGCCATCATTTAATGTAGGTACCTTTGCAGGAAAAAAAAAAATCAAAAACTACTTTGTATAAAGGTTAAAGAGTCTTCTGGTATTAACTCTGCTGGGCATCTCCCTCAAACTCTGGATAAAAAGTTGGGTTGCTAGGTCAATCTTTTTGATCAAAGCCAGTTTTCCCAACAAAGCCCAACCCTCAGGCACATGGGCAGTCAGAATCACTACACAGACTCTTGCAACTCGTTAGTCAATCAAGAGTTAGAGTTTTGAGAAAAATGAAATTACTGTAAACTTTTTGGGCAATTTGTAAGTGACATATACTACCAAAGCCTTTGGAGTCGTCAACCTGTATGCATGAAATCCATCTACTCCTTCTATGTAAGATTGCTGTGTCTATTGGATGTGAAAAACTCCAAGGAAAGAGAGATGAACAGATTTGAATCAAGTAATCTGAATCTGATCATCTTTACAGACTAAAAAATTAATTTATAGACACATTTTGAAACCTAAATCCTTCTCTAAGGACATAAGACTATTTGAAAGGTCTTGTTTGATACAGACATCTCAACTGTAAGTTTCTTTTGGGAGTCAGTCTTCAGTTTACTTCTTGCTGACTGGCCTCAGGCTGGGTGGCTCTGCTGGCAGAACAGGAAGAAGAGAAGGGACAGCGGATGGCTGAGGGGTGGCTGGTACAGGACTGTGCTGGGGTGGAACAAATTTCAGGGCTGACAACAGAAGTGAGGGTGGCCTCAGGGAGTGCCCAGCTGGGCAGAGTTGCAGCACAGCAGGCCTGTGGGATGGGTCCTGCAAGTCCAGAGAATATAGTTAGGGTGACTTCTCTGATCTCGGAGCTACAGCCATACTACCACTGATAAGTTAGAAACGGTCCGGTCACCTGGGACCTGGGCTTGGTGAGCCCAGTTCCACTGGGACTGAACCTGCTGCAAAGAACTGTGTCTGGGCAAAAGAATGTTCCCGCCAATCTATGGAGTTGAGGCTAAGATGGTGGGGTGTGGGTGAGGGTTCTGAGCAACCTCAGCTTGTTCAGCTTGGAGGTCCTTCCCAGAGAGAAAGGGAAAATGAGAATTGGGTAAATGGATGCTGGCTGCCTTGCTGTTCCTGAGAAAGGAAACTGTCTCTGTAGAGAACTTCCTGCTCACAGTTTAAAATGTAGCTTCAGTTTTCTTTTTAACAGAACAGAGCTGTTTACACCACATGATAAACAACATAAGCAATAACATTTAAAAAATCCTTTATATCAGTAGGCCCAAAGCCACACGATTTTATGACCGTTTTAATAAATAAAATTAGATAAATATACATACACTTGGTATGGGAATGACCTGCCTCTGGTCACCCTGAGGAAAAAGAAAAAAAAATCATTGTCAGGTTTGAAGAGAAGATCATATTCTCAAAAGAAACTTCAAAGCCCTCTCGAGCACAGCAGCTGCATGATCTGCCATTCTCTGTACCTTGGTGGTGTTTAATGAACAGGAGGAATCCGAAAATTTTCCACAGTTAAGGCATGAGGCTCCTTCTGTCTCTCAGACACCCGTTCTGCTAACAAGCCAGGCTGGGCTCCTGAGGCTCACCAACCATTTTGTGTATTTAAATAGTGCCTCCCTTACTCCCAGGAATTCAATCCTTAATTAAAAAACAAAAATAAAAACTCATACTTTACTTTAATCCTTGATTCCTTCTAATAACTGTTTGTTTTTTCTTTTAAGCAAGCTTTTCCCTAAAAAGACTAAGTCAATATCATATGCAGGGAATGGGAGACGTGTTCATCAGATTACAATGACCTCCTGGTCATTCCAGGAGCTCCTCTAGGGGAAGACTAGGGAGAGGGGACAAGGCAAGGTACAAGAAATTCCCTCCCAGGCAACAGACAAGGGGACAGCTTTCTCCTTCAAGGGAAATACAACCTGTATTCACAGGGAGTGTTAAGAAAACCTAGGCCCCAAGGAAAGGCCTCAATTATTCCGCAGCCCCAAATGCCAGCCATTCCAAACCTAATTGATGGAAACACTTCATTATAGCATTGTTAAGAAATGCTAATAAAAAAGTTTATTTCCACTGAGCATTTCCAGTTTCTGTTTCTTCTTTTTTAGATGGCCTAATAAGGCGATGCACTGCTTCATGCCTTGTACACTGAAGAATTTCTGAAAATATGTGTCCATTTTTATTAAGAGGGTTACAGTGATAACGAGGTCTCACATGAAAGGGCCAAACCTGATGGCTGGCAATGGCAGCTGGCTGGCACCTTTCTGAGCTCTGTTTTGACACTAAGAACAATTTAGCAACTTCTTGATTATCTCTAACCCCTAGTCATCACCTCTGCAGTATAAGAGCAAGTATCATTTCCTCTTGAGATGATCTCCACAGTTCCTTCCTTTTTCAGATTTTGGGCTTGTCTTAAAGACTGTCAGCTTCCTTCTGACATCACTCAAGGCAGAGCTATGCTGCTCTCCAACAGACAATGCAATCAAATAAATCAAAGTTTCCAAGAACTTGCACAGATAAATTCATTTAAGAAGCTTTTAAATAATATTATTCCTAATACTGGGACTAATAGTAGGTCACTGCTCCTACAGACATACTTGGTGGAGGACATACTTTTAAAAAAACTTTTATTTTAGGTTCAGAGGTACATGTGCAGGTTTGTTATATAGGTAAATTGCATGTCATTTACCTATGGGGTAAATGGGGGTTTACTGCACAGATTATTTCATCACCCAGGTAATATGCATTGTACCCAAGAGATAGTCTTTTCATCCTCACCCTCCTCCTAAGCTCCACCCTCAAGTAGGCCCCAGTGTCTGTTGTTCCCTTTGTTGTCCATGAGTATTCAGTGTTTAGCTCCCACTCATGAGTCAGAATGTGCAGTATTTGGTTTTCTGTTCCTGCATTAGTTTGCTTAGATTAATGGCCTCCAGCTCCATCCATGTTGCTGCAAATTACATGACTTCTTCTTTTTCACGGCTGCATAGTATTTGGTGGAGGAGAGTTTAACCAGAAGTTCACATCCTATTTGGGTCTCCTTATTTTTATTTTATTTTACTTTACAGACGGGGTCTTGCTCTGTCACCCAGGTTGGAGTGCAGTGGTGTGATCATGGCTCACTGTGGCCTCAAACTCCTGGCTTAAGACATCCTCCTGCCTCAGCCTCCTGAGTACCTGGGACTATAGGTGTGTGCTGCCATACCCAGCTGGGCCACTTCAGCGTAGGGTTTCTCAACCTCAGCACTGGTGACATTCTGGGCTGGGAAACTCTGTTGTGAGGGATGTCCTATTTGTTGCAGGATGTTTAACAGCATCCTTGGCCTCTGCTCACTAGATGTCAGCAGATGCTCTCTCCCCCTCTAGTGACAATCTGTCTTCAGACATTGCCACATGTTCCCTGGAGGGCAAATTATCCCAAGTTGAGAAGCTCTGCTCTAGTAGGAGAGTGCAGACATCCCCTGCACACAGGTGTACCTTCAGAACACACTTTTGATGAGATGAGCACGTCCATGATGCAAGAGATCACAACAATGCATCTGAAAGGCCTGACAAAATGTCCACTATGAGCAAGCAAAAGTGCTGATCTAGAAGGATATTTTGGCTTGAAAATTACCCTAGAAGCTTACATGTATGTATGTCTGTGTATACAGCATGACGTATGCATGTATTTGTGAGTGTCCAACAATCCGTTTTATGCTGTCTTTGCCCTTAAAAGTCCTCCATGGTCTTTGCCATTGGGGTTCTGACTCCTCCCAGCCTCTGGAGGCTTCTGGTCTGTAGGTCCAGGTTGTGGCTGTGATGGTGGCAATGGCTGCTACCCCAAGCTGCTGCTGCAGAAGCAGCTGGAAACTCAAAGGCTCCAAATCCTCATTTCTCCAGGGCAAAAGTAAATATGGAGGGTAGATAGAACCCTAGAGGTCATCTGTCCCATTCTGTCCACAGCCTTCCCTCTTCCTCTGGCATGCTGAATTCCGAGAGGTACAGATACTTAAGGAATCAGCAGTAGAAATGGGCCTGGAATCTGCTTCCACATCTAATAGGCCTGGGCTTTGTGTTCCGAATGTCCTGAGCAAGCTAGGGTCAAGAGGCAGAGGGTCCTCCTCTGGGAATTCACTGCCCCACTCTGACAGGGCTCTTTCTCTGGTGTCTGGTCTCCCGGATTGACTAGTCAAGTGTTATGGAAATAACGTGTCACCCCACTTTGGATTAACTAAATTAACTCAAAGTTAACATAATTCTTTAAAAAGCCATCTTGACAAATGTTAATAGAAGGAAGTTCATGAATGAACAGTAAGTCCAAGTGAGCTCAGCTCTGCTGGAGGAACTGCCTTTAAAGGCTTCTATTTCCTGATAGATACAGCTGAGTACCCCAGGAAAGCTTCCAAGGCTGCCATGCCATTTCCTCATATCATTTCATCTACAAAGATACCAAGCTGTCTTCCTTATTTTCTTTCTAAAAATTTCTCGGTTCTTCTTTGACCTTTTTTGTCCCAGAAGAACTTAAGCCTTTCTATCCAGAAACAGCACACACATTTCTCATAAACATGAGAAATCAAAATCTTTTATGATTTGAATCAACTTTGGAGGAGTCTTTTGGGTTTTCTATGTAAACAATCATGTCATCTGCAAATAAGACTAACTTTGTATCTTTTCCATGTTTATACCAATTGTCTCATTTTCTTGGCTTATTCCATTAGCCAGAACCTACCATTGATTTTTCTGTGTTGTTTGCTGTTTATTTTTTGAAGATAGCTTTTTATCATATATAGTTTTCTTCTTTGGTGGCACTGTTGATTTTATATATAAAGGTCCATGGGCTACTATACGGTTCATGTATTAGACTATTTGTCATAAAGTGCCCCTATTTATCCTGTTTAATGCTTTTGAATCTGAATTCTGCTTTATCTGATATTAACATTGTCACTCCTGCTTTCTGTGTGATCTGCTTTGTATATTTTGCCCATTTCTTTATTTTCCACCTTTCTTTATCTGTATGTTAGATGTTATGTCAGAAACTGTCACCTACTGCAATTGTCATTAGCACTGTCCACCAAATAATTCCAGTTTTCTTTCTGAATATGTGGGAGGATTACACTTCCATTCCCCTTGAACTTAATGCAGTCATGTGACTTACTTTAGCCAATAAAATGTCAGCTGAAATGAGGCATGTTTTTCTGAGTTTTCTGAGTGAAAACTTTAAGAGCCAATGTGATTTATCACATTTCCTTTGTCCTGCTGTGACAGTCATGGAAGCAAAGAGATGGGGTATAGGCATGTGAATGAGGATAAGATGGTTATACTGTCCAGTATGGTAGCTACTAGTCACATGTGGCCACTGAGCACACAAAATGTGGCTGGTCCAAATTAAGATGTGCTGTAAGTGTAAAATACACATCAGATTTTGAAGGATTAGTAAGATAAAAAGAATATAAATTGTCTCGCTAATATTTTTTTCTATTGATTACATATCGAGATAATATTTTGGATATAGTGATTAAATAACATGTTATTAAAATTAATTTCACTTGTTTTAAAAATATTTTCATTAATGTGGCTACTGGAAAAAATTAAATTATACATGTGACTTACATTACATTTCTGTTGGATAGTGCCACAGAACAAAAGGCTCAGCCTCAGCCAACCCATTATAAACAAGTAGCATGAGTGAAAAATAGACTTTTATTGTTTAAGCCTCTGAGGTTTTGAGGTTGTTACTGAAGCATAAACGAACCCGTACTGACTAGTGTATCTACTCATGAGTCATTCCTCCCTTCTCCTGATTTTGTTGAGAGCAAGAATATGCTGGGCTAAATTCCTCCCCTGTTGCTATTGGATAGCCATGTGACAAATGGCTACACCCAATTGGTTTGACTAATTCAACTGTACACTGTTTCCACGAACATATCTGCCATCAGATAGAAATGATTTTGGCAGTAAGTAAAAGAAATCTGCCAGGCACTGTGTCAGGCCAATAAGACATAAGCAGAAGTCTCCTGGGTTTTTCTGTGAAAGCATTTACTTTTCATAAAAGGGACAGACATGGCCAGTGCCACCCCTCCCTATCTTTTTCCTTTAAATGTGGATAGGATATCTAAAACTTGTGACTTTGAGATCATAAATAGCAAGCATGAGGATGAAGGCAAACACACCAAGGATAGGGGAGCAGAAAGACAGAAAAACATGTTCTTGATGGCAGCATCAGAAATATAAACCCCAGTAACTACCTGACCCAGGCTTTTTGTGTGAGAAAAATAATCCCCTAATTGTCTAAGCTATTATTTGTCAGCTTTCTTCCTTTTCTTTTCTTTCTTTCACACTTTCTCTCTCTCTCTCTCTCCTTTCATTCCTTCTCTCTTTTTTTCTTTCTTTCAAGACAGGATGTTGCTCTGGCACCCAGGCTGGAGGACAGTGGAGCGATTAAGGCTCACTGCAGCCTCAACCTCCAGGCCTCAAGTGATCCTCCTGCCTCGGCTTCCCAAAGTGCAGGTATTATAGGCGTTAGCCACCATGCCCAGCAGTTTTCTTTTACTTACTGACAAAATCATTCCTATTTGATGACAGGCATATTCTTGGAAATATCATACAGCTGAATTTGTCAAACCAATCTGATGTAGTCTTGGTCTTTGTTAGAAGAATCTGGTTCATCAAACTAGGTTTTATGCCTATTCTTTATGTTATGTTTGCTATTTATTATTTATTCTTTTTCCCTTTCCTTAATTTTGATGGCTTGTTCAATTTGTTTATTTCTCCTTTACCCCCTCTGTGAATTTTAAAGATCTATTTTCTAATTGTGCCACTTGTTACAGTTCTATTATTAGTTCTATTCCTAAAAATCATGTTTGTTTCTACATTGGGGGTTTTTTGAGACAGGGTCTTGCTGTCACCCAGGCTGGAGGGCAGTGGTGCGATCATGGCTCACTGCAGCCTCGACCTCCTGGGTGCAAGCAATCCTCCCACTTCAGGCTCCAGAGTAGCTGGGACTACAAGTGCACACCTCCATATCTAGCTAATTATTTATTATTTGTTTTGTAGAGATGGGGGTTTCCCTATGTTGCCCAGGCTGGTCTCAAACTTCTAGGCTGAAGTGATCCTTTTGCCTTAGCCTCCCAAACTGCTGGTATTATAGGAATGAGCCACTGCACCCAGCTTAATTCTAACCTTTTTTTTTTTTTTTTTTTTTTTTGAGACTGAGTCTCGCTCTGTCACCCAGGCTGCAGTGTGGTGGCGCAATCTTGGCTCACTGCAAGCTCTGCCTCCTGTGTTCACGCCATTTTCCTGCCTTAGCCTGCCGAGTAGCTGGGACTACAGGCACCCGCCACCAGGCCAGGCTAATTTTTTGTATTTTTTAGTAGAGATGGGGTTTCACTGTGTTAGCCAGGATGGTCTCGATCTCCCGACCTCGTGATCCGCCCACCTTGGCCTCCCAAAGTGCTGGGATTATGGGAATGAGCCACTGCATCCAGCCTATTTCTAACATTTTTAACAATTATATCATAACTGAGTATCAATCTCACCCAGATTTTTATGTTTTGTTCCCTCTCTGAATCATTACATATCTAAGAAACTTTTGTCTCAACAGATAAATGATATCTTGGTCACATACAGAATTTTTGGTTTCCATTTTTTTCCCTCAGTAGCCTATAAATATTTTTTCATAGTCTTCTGGCTTTTAGTGTTGCTGATGAGAAGTCTGATACTAATATAACTGTTTTCCTTGAAAATAACTTATTCTAGTATCTTGTAAGACTTTCCCTTTGTCCTTAAACTTCAAAATTTCTACAGATACATCTAGGCATGCGCTCCTCTAACTAATCCTGCTGTCGACTTGGTAAGCTCCTTCAATCCACAGATTCAAGCTTTGTCTTTAGCTCAAGAAATTTTTCTTCTACTACTTTTTCTCTTTCTGGAACTCTTAACATTTGCATGTTCCATCTCCTAGATGCCTGCTGTCCCCTCTCACAATTACCATCTCTGTGTTTCTGGTCTGAATTGTAAGATATTTCTTCTTCCACTTGCTTTTCCAGAACATGAATTCAGTTCCCACCAGTGACCATTCTCCTTCTGTTTGTTTACTGAATTTTTATATTTAGAAATCACGAGTTTTTAAATTCCAAATGTTACTTTTGTACTCATAATTCATTTCCTGAGTTGTCTGTTAAAGTTCTCTTCCATCTCTTCCATTAGTTTTACCGCAGTGGGAGTCTCATTACAGTTTTTTCAACTTGGACTTTCTCAGCGGAGGCTGCATTTTTCTTTGCTTGCACCAGGTTGTGGGTTCCCTCAGTGTCTGTGCAGGTCAGTCTATGAGGCTCTCTGGGAAGTGGCAAATGAGTGAGTACTGCAAGGCCCAGCAAGGAATGCTGTTTTCATGGCCCAGCAGAGCCCATGTTAACAAACCTCAGAGATGAAGAAAGCCCCTACACTACTGGATCCTCCAAGGCACAAGCACTGGAAGCAATCCAGCTCACCAGGGCAGCCCCTCAAAGGACCACACACATTGTGTGGGCAGTATGAGCCCTTTCCAAGGCGATCCGCCAGCTCCTTCTGGCCAGTGGACCTCATGGGACTATACATTCGAGTGTTTGTCCAAGGACTCAGGGAGATGTAAGCATTTTCCTCTGTTGGTGGTTCCCTGCTTCTTATTGAGTAAGAGAGAGAATAAATCCTGTGCCTGCTCTCTACCCTGAAGGTGTCAGGAAAACTGGGGGCCTGAATGCACTTTCCAGGCTCCACCAGCAGGCCCACCTGGGTTTATCCTGGGAGGGAATTTTAACAGTCAGAGCCATGTGCTCAGGCTGTCATCTTCCCAGAATTCCCTTCTATACATCCATATGTGGTTTTAAAATAATTTTTTAAATCATAAAAGTAATTTAAGCTGATTTTCTGAAAACTGAGGAAAGTATAGAGGGAAGGAGAAAATCCTAGCTATAATTCCACCAGTGTGAGCAATAGGAGATAACCTTCATATTTCAGCATACGTCCTTCCAGTCTTATAAATGCTTGTGTGTGTATGTGTGTGAGAGAACAAGAGAGACACTCTATCCATTTCTTTATATCAGCAATATTTACGACATATCATTTTGAAGGGCTGTATGCTATTTGATTGCACAGTTAATTCTATAGTTTTTTTTTTTTTTTTTTTTTAACCAACTGCCTATTGTTGAACATCAGGTTGCTTATAATTTTTCGGCATTATAATCTATGCTGGGTGGGACCTCATGGTTAAATCTTTGCACATTCATAATTATGTCCATAAAGAGTAACTGCCTGCATCAACAAATAGGGATATTTTTAAGGCTTTAAGATCATATTGCCAAATTTTCCTCCAGAAAGGTGTCATCAAGTAACATTGTTACCAGCAACTTATTTATATTCTCTATCCTCCCTCCTACCACTCCATGCTAAAACCAAATATTGTGTTTAAAAATATCTTTGATAAGTCGAAAGCTGGAAAATGGTATCTCATTATTTAGTTTGCGTTTCTTCGATTACTAAACATGTTAAATATTTTTCATGTATTTATATGTGCAACATTCTTATTTTTTCATGTCTGACCATATGAAAACCTTCAGCCTAATTCCTATGCTTCTACACTCCAAGCCTGTGAGACAAATCAGGCAACAGCAGTGTTCACAGTCTTGCAGAAGCATGTGGCTACTGTCACAGCCCACAGTCACTCCTGGTCTATGATATCAACAAGACTGAACCATCTGTATTTCTTATTTTGTGAATTACCTGTTTGTGTCCTTTGCTCATGTTATTTGGAATATAAAGCTTTATGACTTTTGTGTCCTCAAATGTCAACTATCTTCATGATGAATAATCTTCTTTCGGTGATTTTTCCCTGAAATTCCGTTTTGACTGAGATTAATATTATAACCCTTATTTTCCTTAATTTATACTTGTATGAGGTCTCTTTGCTCATCCTTATTCCTTATACTTTTTTTTTTTTTGGAATGGAGTTTCACTCTTGTCACTCAGCTGGAGTACAGTGGCGTGATCTTGGCTCACTGCAATCTCCGTCTCCCAGGTTCAAGCGATTCTCCAGCCTCAGCCTCCCGAGTAGCTGGGATTACAGGTGCCCACCACCAGGCCCAGCTAAGTTTTGTATTTTTACTAGAGAAGGGGTTTCGCCATGTTGGTCAAACTCCTGACCTCAGGTGATCTGCCTGCCTTGGCCTCCCAAAGTGCTGGGATTATAGGCATGAGCCACCATGCCTTGCCGCATCCTTATACTTTTAACTGTTCTGAGTAACTTTGTTTCAGATGCGTTTGTTAGACAGCATGTTGGTAGATTTTGGTTTTTGACCTATTGTGACAATATGACATATTTTATTTGATACATACAAAAGAATATATAACATGCTTATTATTAAACAAGGTAGTTAAACTCAATTATTTTATTGTTAGCTCTTCTCTATGTCTGTTTCTCTTTTCATCTATTTGTGAGTCTGCTATTGGTTGTTTAACTGTTTAATGCATTCAACTTCCCAAGAGAGAATGTTATAAAAATGTGAAGTGACTCCCGTAACTCCCATCAAATATGATCTTTAGTTGCTAAATGAGATATCCTTTATCAAAAAAGCTTACTTTTCTTGGTAATTTCAAATCTTTAAGTAAATGGCTGTACACATACTATCACATATCCTTTTCTTTTTGTTTTTTGTTTTTGAGACATAGTTTTGCTCTTGTTGCCTAGGCTACAGTGCAATGGCACTGCAACCTCCGCCTCCCAGGTTGAAGCAATTCTCCTGCCTCAGCCTCCCTAGCAACTGGGATTACAGGCGCCTGCCACCACGCCCAGCTAATTTTTTATATTTTTAGTAGAGATGAAGTTTCATTATGTTGGCCAGGCTGGTCTCGAACTCCTGACCTCAGGCAATCTACCTGTCTCAGCCTCCCAAAGTGCTGAGATTACAGGCATGAGCCATCGCGCCCGGCTCTGCATATTCTTATTAAGGATATTCATCAAGGATGGGACAGATATGCCGCTGCTGCAGTTTTATGGAGTGCACAGTTCCTCGCCAGTACTGACCTTCTGAAGTCCACCATTCTCCTCCACCAGTGGCGGAAGCACACTGGGGCTGTTGGGTGGAGGGGCCTCCACATTGTAATCACGGAAGCAGCAGAAGAAGGAGCTAAGGATGCTGCGGCTCCTCTGCTTCTTTAAGCTGACGTTGCACTGGGAAGCTGGAAACAAAAACAGAGCACACTGTGGCCAACTGCAGCATGTACTGATAGTTGTAATATAATGCAAAAATCTGAGTATGCAGTTGCCCCCCAGACCCCAGATTCCTGCCCTGAGGGCCTGCTCAGGAGGAGAAGATGAGGGGCTCCTGGAAATTACTCTAAAGAACTGTGAATCCAATGTGAGAATCCCAGGAGCCAGCTAGTCGATGGAGTCCAATCCCTCTGGTTGGACAGGATCCCTTTGACCTCAGCCCAGCAGGGGCTGCTTGCTTATTAACTGACTCACCCTCAGGGTCAGTCCCCATCTGCATTCCTGAACCCAGCAGATGAAGTATTCCCACCCTGCACCAAGCACTACTTCAAAATAAACATCTTTTCAGGCACAAATCAGACTTGACACTCCCTGGGAAGCATCTCTCCATTATGGATACCAATAAAAAATCACTTTGAATCTAGGTTCTTGGACATCCCCTGCTCACTATGGAAATGACTTAACTTTGTGGGTTAAGAAATAAGATATGTAAAGGCACAAAAGAACCTCCTGCTTAAACTTGCCAAGAGTTTGTCCAGAAGTTGGTGAGGGCCTGGATCCACAGAGCTTAGGGCTGAAGGCTTCCATTTCACTTAAAAAACATAAACAGCAGGAGATGTTGGATGGAGAACACATGTTCCTGCCCCAGTAGGGCTGGCCAGGGCAAAGCCCATCTTCATGAGATCCAGGGCAATACTGTGCCCTAGCCTGTCCTGAACTAAGACACTGGAGGGAGTGACACATCCTTTCTGTTTATCCAAGGCTCACAACAAGCTGCCACAAGTCAGGAATAAAAGGTGAAAATTAGTATAGATGAAAAACACCCCTCAGGGGAGGGCTCACAACTTCGAGGGGCAGGAGTATTTGCCTGGGAATGCAGCCGGGACTGTCCCACCACATGCCATGCCTAGGCGGGTCAGTGGTGCTCTGAGAAGAGGCCGCAGGCAAGGGACCATGCTTAGGGTTAATGGGAAAATTGCCAGTGCAGGAAATGATTTAAGTCCACATGATAACTGTTGGAGCTTATCTCTTCTCCCAAAAAGCAATTCTGGCACAATTCCTCTTTTTGTGCACTTAGGAGTGATTTGTGTAACACCTTTCCTCCCAAGAGATCACAAAACCTTTGCTGAATGTTTTGGGGGTACTCTTCTGCCAGCAGCAAAACTAAGTGCATTCAGATGGAAATTCTGAAAAGGGACTGAAAAGCTATTCTTCCAGCAACTCCACAGATATGAATGGTTTCTACCCTGGGTTCGGGCAAATGGCCCAGTGAGTATGAATTTAAGATCAGCACTTACTAAAGATGAACTTCAGAACCATAAATCTCTGAGAAAGCTGGCTGTTTTTATCTTCCTCAAGCATCCTTGGGTGCATGCATAGAGCACCAGCCATCACATTTCAGGCATCTCATTTCAAGGGCAGGTCAGGCCAGACCAGGCCATTGGGACTGCCAGGCATGTGGGCCTCCTAAGTGGTAGTGTGGGAAGAGATAATAACCACTGTTCACCAAGGGCCAACGCTGTAGGTCCCAATAGTTCACAAACCTCATCTTGCATACTCCTAAGGAGATAGGTGTTACTACTTCCATCTTACCGCTGAGAATATACAACTATTGAGAAAATACAGCAGGATTGTGTCGGTTCCTTTGCCAGATTCAAACCCAAGTGGGCCTGTTTCCAAACTGTGTGATTTCCCCATGTGCCATGCTGAATACAATCTTGAAACAATTTAGGTTAGATTAAGAAGGTGGAACACGCCAAATAGGGAGAGAAAAGCATTGCAATAAACTTGTATTTAATATAAATGATACATTAAACCATTTCATTGTTACTCCGAATGTCTTAATTTTTATCCCACACTCAGAAAATTTAGTCAGGGGAAGAAAAAAAATCTTTTCCCTAGCTGATAGCACATTCCTCTGCAAGTAAACAAGCTATCTGTTCATGTCTCAGAGACACTGAGCAGTCTGCAGAAAGCACCTTTCCAGGTCCTATTTTCATCCTTGGATGACATGAATCTTCCCCACAACTAACTAGCCCACTAATTAACAAATTAACTTACATACTAAAAAAATTATAAACCTGGAACCAGTACACTACTCATAATTTCTACCACACGCTCACTTACTCTACAGAAGGTACACACAGCTAACAGAGTCAGTAAATTAGTTATCCGAGCACCTGGGAGGCCATCGTGCCTCCAGACAGGGAAAGGGAGCTTACCCAGGTCTTTCCTTCTCTGTATAAAGAGTGCAGCAGTCAAAGTGGTCTCATTTTCATAGGTGTGGAAGGTTCCAGGATTCTTCCTTTCAAATAAGGTTAGTTCTAGGGCCTGCAGGAACCTCTTGGAGGCTCAGTGGCTAATTTTCTAATCACTCTTGGATTGGTCTAGAACTCTCAAAATCAGGAGAGGTGGGAAGGGTAAATGGAAGGATTTCCTCAGGACCAGCACTGGCCTCACCGACCCTCAGCATTCACTTCTTCCTGAATAGGGCTCCAGACGTGGGTGCTCTGTACTAATGACCCTACTGCCTTCTAGCCCCAGTTGCTGCTTCTCTCCCTCAGCTATCATCCAGAAGATCCTTGACTTGCTCATAAACTGGTAAGGGAGTTTTGGTTGACACATGAAATAAAAATTCAGTTTAATGGATAAATGTTGACGTTAGAACATTAGATGAAAAAGTTAATATATATTATTGTATATCTGATTTGATCATAACTAAGCAAAGCAAACTAAAAAAGATTATAATTAAGAAAAGATTTGCAAGAAATATGTCAAAAAGTTAACAGTAATTAATTGTTGGACCATAAGTGTTTACATTTCTTCCACATTTTCCAAATGTTTTCTGGTAATTATGTATTGCTCTAATAATGGTGGGGAGGAAGTAAACAGTCTTGTTAAACTGTCTTTCGGCAACTTTGTGCTATTTCTAAACCATATCCTTCTTCTAATTCTCAACCTTTAGCCTAATTCCTATGCTTCTACACTCCAAGCCTGTGAGACAAACCAGGCAACAGCAGTGTTCTCAGCCTTGCAGAAGCAATGTGGCTACTGCCACGGCCCACAGCCACTCCTGGTCTATGATATCAACAAGACTGAATATATCCACTAAACTCAAAACCAGAGGAGGCCCATGTGAAAAGAAGGTACCAAAGAAGTGTCCTTTGCCCGGTAGAACGCTCCTGCTGGCTTTCTCATCTGGCATCCATGCTCCACCGCTCACCCTCCTTGTACACACAAAAGGGGTCTTGCTGTTTCTCTGCTTTGATCAAGACTTTACCTCTCATCACCTTTCCTCCCTTGCCCCCTTTACATGTTTCCACTGACAAGACACATGAGAGGTCTCCTGGTGGCCCAGGTATCCAAGAACAAGGTCTTTTAGGATATTAAAGATAGTTGAATGCATACATCTCCCCATAATATTGGTTTTAAGAAATTACTTTGGAAGAGCAAAGGAGGGAGTAGCAACTATGAACATCAGTTTAAAATATTCCATAACGATTTTCATTTTTAAAAATCAGACTTAGGAGGAGGAAGTCATCAAAAGTCATTCCAAAGCTTTCTGTCACTTTTCCCTGATAACCTCCCCTATCCAAACCCAGCACCTGCCCACCTTACTCCCTAGCTTCCTCCACGGTAGACTCCTCATCACACTGACATCCCTTCTCCCACTCCTCCTCCCCCCATTTCCCCACTTCTCAGAGCATCCTGCTTTTCAGAGCCTGGCTCAAAGCCAACCTCACCCAGGAAGCCTTTGCCAACCTCCCTGTGGAGATCGTTTTTTTCTTTGGCCACTAAACTCCCAAATGAATGTGTGTATGACTGAGCTGTGTCTTTGGGCCAGGCCAGTTCATCCACCTGTCTGCTGGACATCTCCTCTGGATGCCTCAGACTTGGCATATCTAAATGGGGCTCACCACTCCCCTCTTCACTCAGGGTACCAATATCCTAAGCTAGACGTCTGCCGTTCTCCCTCATTAAGTTGTTGGTTCTGACATCCTAATCGACTCTTAAATGTGTCCTTAGCAACTCCTTGTCCCTGCCCTATCCTGACTCAGGTCCTCATCATTTTGTCCCTGGACCACTACGGTTGCTTTTTGACTTGTCTTTCTGCTGTTGATTTTGCATCCCAACATGTCTTGACATGACAGGTAAAGCCCATCAAGTTACAAGAATGTGTGGTGGTTAGGAGTGTAGGTTCCGATGCCAATTTGCCTAGGTGCGAAATCTGGCTCAACCAGCAATAGCACAGGACCTGGGCAAGTTGTGTGATTTCTTTGTGCCTCAGTTTATCTATAAAATGAGGATAATAAATACTCATCTTATGGGTCTGTTGTGAGAATTAAATGAGTTATTACAACAGTGTCTAACATAGAGCAAGCACTCCAGAATTTTTGTTTGTTTTTTAAAGACAGGGTCTCACTCTGTCACCCAGTCTGGAGTACCGTGGTGCAATCTTGGCTCACTGCAACCTCTACCTCCAGGGCTCAAGACATCCTCCCACCTCAGTCTCCTAAGAAGCTGGGACTACAGGCATGCGCCATTACACCCAGCCAATTTTTCTATTTTTAGTAGAGACAGGGTCTTGTCATGCTGCTCAGGCAGGTCTTGAACTCCTGAGCTCAAGTGATCTGCTTGCCTTGGCCTCCCAAAGTGCTGGAATTACAGTTGTGAGCCACCACACCCAGCCTAGACATTTTAGCTTTTATTATTATAGTCTCGTAGAAGCTTTTGCTTCATAAATGAGGGGGGTTCTCCAGGAACACTGGATCAAAGGCTGGATTCTGCGGGCATACATTTTTTTCTCTGATATCTGATAACTAGGAGAAACAACTCACTATAACAGATCTTGGTTACATAAACCGTAATTCAGAAAGCAAAACTAGAAAAATCTCAGGAAGTGATTCTAATCAATTGCTCTAAAAAGTAGACATAGACATGGGGAAGGAAAAGGGAGGGGTTGCGTGTCCCAGTGAGCTCTGCTGGGGGCTGTTTTCCCTTAGGAAAAGAACAATGCTTTCAAGTGGAGGGCAGGAAGCATACACTCTCCCTCCTCAATCCCTTTACTTAATTCCCTTTGGGGCTGAAGCTTAGCTCTCTTCTGCACAGCATTCTGCCTGCTGGGTCTGCATCTGGTTCCAGGGACTTCTTGCCTCAAGCTGTACATCAGAAAGGAGCATTGAGGGGACCATGCAAGGAGGACCACAGACGTGGCTAGCTGACCCAGCAGTCTCCCCTGCTGGGTCCCCCAATAGGCTACTACATGCTGCCATTTTCCCAAGGCTCAGCCCGGGGCAGGCCTGCTTAGAAAGACCACCCTCTTTCTCCTCCTTATCCCTGTCAATGAAAACATGCCCAGCTGGGTGCGGTGGCTCATTCTTTGTAATCCCAGCACTTGGGGAGGCCGAGGCGGGCAGATCACGTGGGGTCAGGAGTTTGAGACCAGCCTGGGCAACATGGCAAAACCCTGTCTCTACTAAAAATACAAAAATTAGCGGAGTGTGGTGGCAGGTGCCTGTAATTCCAGCTACTCAGGAGGCTGAGGCACAAGTTGCAGTGAGCTGACAGAACACCACTGCACACCAGCCTGGGTGACAGGGCGAGACTCTGTCTTTAAAAAAAAAAAAAAAGAGGCTGGGCGTGGTGGCTCACGCCTGTAATCCCAGCACTTCGGGAGGCCAAGGCGAGTGAATCACAAGGTCAGGAGATCGAGACCATTCTGGCTAACACGGTGAAACCCCGTCTCTCCTAAAAATACAAAAAATTAGCCGGGTGTGGTGGTGGATGCCTGTAGTCTCAGCTACTTGGGAGGCTGAGGCTGGAGAATGGCGTGAACCCTGCAGGCGGAGCTTACAGTGTGCGGAGATCGTGCCACTGCACTCCAGCCTGGGTGACAGAGTGAGACTCCGTCTGAAAAAAAAAAACAAGCAAGCAAGCATGCCCACAGCCAGTCCCAGCACACAAACATGCCATGGGCACAGATACCCCACACGGAGAGTAAAGGGAAATCCTTGATAGAGGTAGCCGAGGTGATCCTAAGACTTAACTTTCTCTATTTCTCTGAGCAAACTCGGGTGAAGCAGAAACCCTGGAAAGGGTTGTAAAGAGCTGGAGATGTGGGGCATGGGCCTTATTCCTGGTCCTTGTGTATCCACTGGAGGAACAGGGTAACACGTGGCTGTTTTCCTGGATATGCCCTTAGAGCTAATGCTCTGCCTAAGCCCCTGGTCCTGGTGTCATTGCAGCCCAGCAAATTAAGACCTTGTTTCCCACTCATACACATTTCTCCCTTGCCCCTTCCCATGGGCTGGGGACCTCCCATCTGCCAGCAACAGGCTTACAAACGGTCTATGAATGGTGCAGCTTAAAGTGCCCATATAGACAATTGCCTTCCTCTTTAAAGACAAGACAAGAAGCCTTCCAAATGCCTCCCTGGTCTTCTAAGCAGAGTGCTGGCCCAGCAAGAACCAGTATCTTCAAAGCACCAATTATAGATGGGGAGCGTAGTGGACATCTGACAGTTTTTGCCTGCCGGAATCCATTACTCTTCTTTCTGGTAAAAGTTCCTCTATTTTCCTCTGGGGAACCACTCTCACCCTATCAGTGTTCTGTCCTTTATCATGGGCTGGCCAATCTGAGCCACATGACTGGCTTAGGGATGGGCACATGACCCACCCTGAGCCAAAGACTCTGCAAGGATTCATGCAAGCCCTATTGGAAAAGATGTTCTCCTTTTGCTGGGTTTCTTAACATGGCAGGATGTAAGCCTGGAGCAAATGGTAGTCATCTTTGCACCTGATAAGAAATACCTACCTGAGGATGAAGTCAAAACTGAGGAAAAAGGAGCTGGGTTACAAAGAGGGACAGATTTCTGATGACATTGTCTGAGAACTTGGTTTTATTAAAACCAGACCCTTCTGGAATTTTCAGTTATGTAAGTAAACAAATTCCCTTTTGCTCCTAAGCCAATATAATTGGGTTTACGTGATTTGAAATGGAAAAGATTGTCTCTGAAAATGTAAGCTCTGATGCTAGGTGGTACAGAAACATTGACCAACAACATAGGCAGGGGTCCAACCTCATGAAGCCCACATCTAGCAGGAGAGATGTTTGAATATGTACTTCTGGTACACAATGAGTCTTATTAGGATGGGAAAGTGCAGGGTACTCCTGGGGCCCAAAGAAGAGCACATAGCCTAGACTGGGGACTGTGAGTAGGGAGGGGTACAGAAATGACTTTTTTTTTTTTTTTTGAGACAGAGTCTCACTCTGTCACCCAGGCTGGAGTACAGTAGTGCAATCTTGGCACAATGCAAACTCTGCCTCCCGGGTTCAAGTGATTCTCCTGCCTCAGCCTCCTGAGTAGCTGGGACTACAGGCGCCCGCCATCACGCCCGGCTAATTTTTGTATTTTTAGTAGAGATGGGGTTTCACCATATTGGCCAGGCTGGTCTCGAACTCCTGACCTTGTAATCCATCCGCCTTGGCCTTCCAAAGTGCTGGGATTACAGGCATGAGCCACTGTGCCCAGTCCAGAAATGGCTTCTTGAAAGAAGCTGGCTGAAAGTTTCATTAATTTTTTTGTGGTGGGAGGAGCAGGAAAGTGGGGAAACAGCATGTGTAAAAGGCATGGTGTGAGAGAGAGCATGAAACATTTAAGAAATCAAAGGAGTAGCAAGGAGTATGAGATGGGAGTAATGACAGCAAGGGCCTTGCAAGCCAAGGAGATGAATTTGGATTTGATGTTATGGAAAAGGGAAGAGATGGGATCAGATTTGTAACATGAATGTCACTGTCTTAGCTCTGTAATTAAAACTACTGAGTTTAAATTTTAAATTATGACCAATGCAGCCAAGATCAAGGATATTTGCAAATTACACATGTGGGCCATTTAAGAGCCTAGAGTGAAATTTTTTATTTAGAAATTGACTTTAAATATAAGTTACATGGAAAAAACACAGGCTTTGGAATTACATTTGGGTTCAAGTCCCAGCCCTGCCACTTGTTAGCTGGTGTGACCTCACCCACCTCCATAGCAACAATAATACAGGAACGATAATCCCTACCCTACAGGACTGTTGTATGGGCACAGTGAAAACATGTATGTTTGTGTAAGAGAGAAAATCTACCAGCAGCTTTAAATATAACAAATAACTGTGACTGGTTTAGGTACAGTGCAGGGTCTCACTGTGAACATGGAGAATTTAGCTTGTATCCAGACAACGGTCCTCACAAAAACAGCCTGGCTTTATGAAAAAACATGTAGGCAGATCCATTCTGTTTTAGGTTATGTGAAGTCTAAAGGTAGAATATTAAGTAGCTCTTTAAAACTTTACCTCCTATCCAGTAAAGTTTTCTCTGTATAATAATAACAGTAATAATGATAGAAATTAAACAAACAAAAAGCAGCTCCACATGTGGGGCTTAAAACAAACCTTAGGACTCAGGTCTTTTCTACAAAATCTCATATTAAATACGGTTAGAAAGAAAGTGTTATAACTAAAAACATGAAATGGTGGCATGCACCTGTAGTCCCAGCTACTTGGGAGGCTGAGGGAGGAGAATTGTTTGAACCCGGGAGGCGGAGGTTGCAGTGAGCCGAGATCGCACCACTGCACTCCAGCCTGGGCAACAGAGCAAGACTCCATTTCAAAAAAAGAAAAAAGAAAAACCATGAAATGTACAGGGGAAAGTCCACTGAGGCTGACAGTGGGGCTTGGACCTTCAGTGGCCCAAGAAGACTGGTCTAAAGAGCTACCCAACAGATGTTTATGTTTATGCCAACAGATGGAGGCACAACAGAGTCCACATCCATCTCATATCGTAGGCTGAGGGTGCATTTCTCTTGTACTTCCTGACCTAACTGGTTCCCTTCAGTAGCCAAAAGTTGAAATGTTGACCCCCAAACAGCCAGCATTTCTTAATTAGTGTGATATCTGCCCATGCCATATAACCAGTGACCTTTTATAATTCTTTCATTCTGATCTGGTTTAGATTCAAGATGTGGGGAGGCTTTGGAACCATCCTTAACCCCTGGCTTCAGGACCCAAACCTCTGAGGTCTGCACTGATTCAGAGCTTCACATATGTTCCTGAGCACATCCACCCACACGCATACACAGCTTCCATCTCTCCTTATCTGTGATCTGACCTAACACTCCCAGCACCCCACACAACTCTACACAATCAAAGGAGTTCAGGACGAAGATCAGAGTAGCTGGAATGTAGGTGGAAATGTTTGCTACTCACTATGAATCCATCCCTAATCATTCAAGTTTCTCCTCAAGTGAAGAAACTACAACTTGGTAGCTACAAAAAACAAAGGCTTGCTTTTCATTTCTATGGTGCCGAGCCAGCCTCTCACAACATAAATGTGCTGGTACAGGGGCCGGATCTCTGAAGACCCAGCACGATATAATTTTCAGAAAA